GCCCAGGGGCTGGTGGGGTGACACTTGCACCTCCTCCATCCCTCCCCTCTACCTGTGCCTGTACCCAGGAGGTCCAGCCCTGCTTGGAGACATTTAGGAGCCAAAGGCCAGGGTGGAGGGGCCAGCTGGGCCTAAACCAGGCAGAGGGAACCCTGGGGCTCCTGTGTCTCCTGGTTTTGGAGGAGCCTGAGAGGTGCCAGCGAGCAGGGCCGGGTGTGCAGCGCATCAGGGCCCTCAGCTCTGCCCCCCTCCCCGTTCTGATTCCTGTCTCCTCTCATACCTGTCTCCTCTGCGTCTCTTTTCTGTTTGTTTTGTTTTGTTTTGTTTTGTTTTTTTAAAGACCATGAATGAAAAGGGAGCTCCTCTTACCCAGGACAAGGGCTAAGCTCTTCCCCCCTGACCCCGAAAAAACCAGCAGCCAACTCCTCTCCCCAGGGGGAATGTGGCTTTTCCACAGCCAACCTTGACACTGTTAGAGCAATGAGCACAAGGCTTCCGAGGAGCATTCCCTGCGCCGGGCCACGCCAAGAGGTGCTTTGGAAGACACAACGTCTGTGGCCGAGCCCTGGTGTCGTGAGGAGTGGAGGTGGGGGGGTTTTCCCTGCCAACCTGCCCCGTGTGGAGAGGCAGCACTGGATGTGAGGGCGCTGGGAAGGGGCGTGGTGGCCGCGCTCGGCTGGGGATGCTCGGAAGAATTCCTGGAGCTGAGATCTCTCACCCGCTGGGCTCTTCTCTGTGTAGCCCCCCAACAGCTCAGCTGGAGCCAAATCCAGCCTGGAAAGATACAAGTGGGAGTAAAGGATGAGGAGTGGAGCTGGAGAGGAGGTGAAGGCCGCCTTGGAAGGACATTGTCACACCCGCCCTGCCAGCTGCTGTTGGGTCAGCGCTGCCCTCACCTGAAAAGCACATTCCTGCTCTGGGGCCGTCTCTTCCCTTCCAAGATTCCCAAAGGATAACATTTCAGTGTGCAAAAGGGGCTGGAGCTGGGATTATCCAACGTCAGAAGGTGCATTTGAGCCTGGAGGTTGATTCCTGGACCTGAGCTCGAAGATCAAAATGTGTGTGGGGAGGAGAGTCCCAAATCCCGTCCCTGTTCTTTCCTGCCCACCACAAATCACTCCAGTTCTGGCAAAACCACGTTCTTCCACTGGTCTTGGGCTCTTGGGAAAAGGGGATCTCCAAGGAATGGGACAGTGACCAGAATCCTGAGCCGAGACATCAGACCCTTCGTCATTCTCCACCTTTTGACCTTAATTCCATCTTACAGCCCGGAACCTCGGCCAGGAATCGGCTTCCTCTGAGCTTGGATGGATGGAAGGATGGATGGATGGGTGGGTGGATGGATGGATGGGTGGGTGGATGGGTGGATGGATGGATGGATGGGTGGGTGGATGGATGGATGGATGGATGGATGGATGGATGGATGGATGGATGGGTGGATGGATGGATGGATGGATGGATGGGTGGATGGATGGGTGGATGGATGGGTGGATGGATGGATGGATAAAGGACAGGTGGGGCAGCTCTGGGGAAGGGGAACTCCTACGTCAAACGTACCAATGCCCCTTCTTTTCCTGGTGCCCTGGGTAACTCCAGAGCTCCTGGGGGGAAGGTGGGAAGGCTCCAGCTGATAAAAAAACTCTGAGGGTCTTAAAAACCAAGTTATTGGACCTTAATGACATTTTTCAGCACATTCCCACTGCCTTTAACTAGTTTGCACTATTCAAATCTGTCAGCAGTGGGGCTGTGCTGATGTACTAGAAAAACTTGTCCTAGGCAAAACTCATCTGCTAAATATCTTTCTTCCATTTTATTTTATTTTATTTTATTTTATTTTATTTTATTTGGTTGTTTGGAAGATTGTCACCATGATGGTTGAATAAGGCTAAAAAAGGAGAGAGAAACCCTTTCTGCTCTCAGCCTGCAGTTCTGTGAACTGGGCAGAACGCTGCTGTCTGCCTAGAAATATATATATATTATATATATATATATAATTTTTTTTATATATATATAAAGAAAAGCTAATGTTTTAATAACGTTAAGAAGCTATTGGGAAGGTGGAGATGGCAGCTAAAAGTGGAAAAGCAGGAAAAAAAAGCCTCCCTTCATGGCAGTCCCTGCAGCACAGACCTGGAGGCTCTCACTGGCACATCCCTGTCCCCAGACACCTCCCAAGGGACAGGTGAGCTGTGCCACCTCCCCCCACCTGCCACCTCCAAGCTGTGACTGAGAGCTTTCAGTTCAACCCAGCATTTTGGCTCCCTGTCCCCCCAAAATCGCTCTGGCACAATTGTGTCCTTGCACTTTTTAAACTCCTTTTGATTTTTCTCTTGTTCCTTCCCCCCCCCACCCCCAACTCAGCTGTGTTGTTCCCCCTCCTTGGCACCCCCAGAGGTGCCACCCAAAATCCCTGGCACAGGGACCCTCTGCTCAGTGCAGGAGCTGTTTTTAAAGCTCACCTGGCTCAGGTGAGCTGTAAAAACCTCAGGTCTCGCCTTGGCTGCCCCCTGCCACGCGAGGAGCCTCGGGCTTGAAAGCAACTGCTACAGGGAGCAAATATATTCTGCAAATTAGGGCTAAAATGCTAAATTTCAGGGCTGCCCCTCAGCCCTGAAGTGCCTGTTTTCCTGTGGTGGCTGCACAAACACAAAGCTGGACCTGCCATCCCTCAAATCCTTGGGATTTGGGAGCAGACTTGGGTGAGCAGGATGATGGACGGGAACCTCAGCCTGGGCTCTGCCAGCTCTGTTTGTCAAGGGGGAATTTTTATTTTATTTTGTTTCTCCCTTTTTTATTACTCTGAGATCCCGAATTCCCATCACCTCCAGCCCAGGTTATAAGCCCAAGGCCCTGAGGTCGTGCCCAGGCTTGGTCAGATTCTTCCAAAATTCAACCTCATTTCACGCCCTGGAATTAGAAACGTGCCAGCACCAGGGAGAGAGGGATGGGAAGGAGGGAAGGCTGTTGGGATCGATCCCTTGTGCAGCGAGTTGGGGTACAATGCACTGATCTCCCAGAACACACAGAATCCATGCTGGAATCACCCCCAATTGGGATTTGGTGCCCAAATCCCTGGGCAACAGCAGGAGACACACAGGGGGTCAGGGAGAGGCACTTAGTGGTGAGTGAGGAGGCTGAGAGGTGCTGGATGGGGCTCTGCACCGCTCCTGGCAGAATATTTGGGAACCCAGGCTTTGGAAGAGGTTGGAAACCAAGGAATTGGTGTTGTTTATTTTTTTTTAGGCAGGATCACTGTTAAATCAGGGTGCAGCATCCCTGGCCCCCTGCTTGGTGGTGGCAGCAGTTGGAGGATGATCCCCCCTGGCTCTCCGGGGGTCCCTGGGACAGAGTGGGATGAGGATGGAGAAGACAAGGGGGATAAGAGACATAAAGCACTTACACATCTCTCCAACACCTTCCAAAGGCTCCCAATCCCTGGGAATTGTCACCTCAACCTGTCCCAGAGCCAAAGGTCCCTTTGGCAGATTGAGGGGTGGGGGGGGGAGGAGAAGGGTGCACTGCTGGAAGGTTGCCAGTTGTATCCCTGTGAAAAAAAAGAGGGAGAGAAGGAGAAAGGAAAAAGAAAAGCTAAAGATTATCTGTGTTTCAGTTGCACTGGGGTACGTTTCTTTACCCGTTTTGATGCTCATGTCTCATTTAGTATGGTGCATGTGTCTTTTTTGGATTTGTTTTGGGGTTTTTTTAATTAAATAAAAGAGAAAAATGTGTATATTTTTGGCAATTTAAGGTAATGTAGCTAAGATATATTTTTTTCACGCTGCTTGACTGTTCTTTATTATAATAAATAATATTAATATTAATATCGAAGAGTTTTTTACTGCAGCCAGAGGGGGAAATTTAAATGAGAATAGGGGCTGTGGGATGAATTCCCTGAAAAGGTGCTGGGCCCTGCTTTCCACAGGGAATGTGTGGCAGCATCCGGAGCAAGGGATGCTCTCAGGATGCAGGAGTGGGATCCCCAGGGGTGGGTCATTTTGGGAATGAGGGGAGACCAGGGCAAGGGAGGAGCAGCTGGTGGAAAGGTTTCCCTCTAAAAAACACAGGGATAGCCCAAAACCACTCGCTGACCTCACGAGCAGCTCCTGGGCCCTCCCCTCTCCCAGGGGTTTGTTCCTTGGAAGCACCAAAGCCGAGGTCTCCACGTCCCCCGTTCTCCCGGGGGAAAACTGTGCTCGGGAGCCGGGGATCCTGCTCCTCCTTGCCCAGGAAAGGGACCGGGGTCAGGGACTGGGGTTGGGCACCGCGTGAAAGGATCGGGCACCGGGAGCGACACCGGCAGCGGGCACTGGGACTGCGCAGTGGGGTCGGGAACCGGGACTGGGACAGGGATGGGGAACCGGGATTAGCAGGGGAACCAGGATCGAGGCACCGGGACAGGAGCCAGGATCGAGGACCGGGACTGCGCACCGGGAGCGTCACTGAGAGCATCACCGGCAGCACCACCGGCAGCAGCACCGGGAGCACCACGGGCAGCATCACCGGCAGCATCACCGGCAGCATCACCGGGAGCGTCACTGAGAGCAGAACCGGCAGCATCACCGGCAGCAGCACCGGGAACATCACCGGCAGCATCACCGGCAGCAGCACCGGGAGCAGCACCGGGAGCAGCACCGGCAGCATCACCGGGAGCACCACGGGCAGCATCACCGGGAGCGTCACCGGCAGCATCACCGGGAACATCACCGGCAGCATCACCGGCAGCAGCACCGGCAGCAGCACCGGGAGCATCACCGGCAGCAGCACCGGCAGCATCACCGGCAGCATCCCCGGCAGCATCACCGGGAGCATCACCGGCAGCATCCCCGGCAGCATCCCCGGCAGCATCACCGGCAGCAGCACCGGCAGCATCACCGGGAGCAGCACCGGCAGCATCACCGGGAGCGTCACTGAGAGCATCACCGGCAGCAGCACCGGCAGCAGCACCGGGAGCATCACCGGGAGCAGCACCGGCAGCATCCCCGGCAGCACCGGCAGCATCCCCGGCAGCCCGGCGGCTCCGCGGCGGGGGGAACGTTCCCGCACCGAGCGCGGCGCTCCCGCCGAGCCCGCCCGGCCCGGCCCTTCCGGCGGCGCGGGAGGAGGAGCCGCCCGGGAAGGTGACCGGGAGCGGGAGGGAGCGGCCCGGGAGGGTGACGGGCACCGGGCGGGGTGAGCCGGGAGGGTGACCGGCACCATGCACCGGCTGGGCCCGGCCGCGCTCGGGGCTCTGCTGAGGGCGGCGCGGGGCGGCCCCCGGGGCCCGGCCCCCTTGTCCTCCTCCTCCTCCTCCTCCTTCTCCTCCGCCGCCCCCCCGCAGCCCGCGATCGCCGCCAAGGAGCCCTTCCCGGTGGAGCTGAAGGCGGGGAAGACGTACGGGTGGTGCTCGTGCGGGCACAGCAAGCGCCAGGTCCGGCCGGGGGGGGGAATTCGGGGAAATCCGGAGGGTCTGGGGGGGCTCCGTGAGCCGGGGGAGGGTCCAGGGACTCCGAGGGGTCTGCTCCCTCCGCTTGGGATGTGCGGGGATGCCGATGGGGCCAGGGCAGGACCGGCCCCACGGGGACACCCCCCGCAGTCCTGGGATGGGAGGTTTTTGGGGGGCACGGGGCGCTGCTGCCCTCCCCGGGTTCTCCGGCCGGTTCCCGAGGGATGCGCTGCCCGTGGGTGGGATGGATGGAGGGGTCGCGGCCCCGCGGGGAAGCAGCCGAGCACCCCCAGACCCCCCCAAATTTACCCCCTGCCCGTCTCTTTTCAGCCCTTCTGCGACGGCTCCCACAAGAAGGAGGCCCCGGGATGTCCCCGCTGCGCTTCACCCCCCAGGAGGACGGGCCCGCCTGGCTCTGCGGGTGCAAACGCACCCAAAACCCCCCGTACTGCGACGGCACCCACAACGGGGAGGCGGTTCAGGGGGCCCCCCTGCCCCCCCGGGCCTGACGTGGAGCCCACGGGAGCTGGGGAGCACCGGGATGCGCGGAGGGAGCGGGGAGATGCTGAGCCCCCACCCCACTTAAATCTGAATTACTGAGGAGCTGCAGCAAACCAGCCCGTGGGGCAGGGAATTTGCCCTGGGTCCACCTGGGCTCCTGCCAAAGGCTCAGCAGCGGCTGGGAAGGAAGGAATCCCGTGGACAGTGGGGTTCTCAGGAGCGGGTTTGCGCTGCCAGAGCTGTGGGTGCCCGTCAGGATGTGGGATGGGAGGGCCTGTGGGGTTTGGGATAGGGGGACCTGTGGGATTTGGGATGGGGGGTGCTCTGTGGGATTAGGGATGGAGGGATGCATGGGAGGCAGGACAGAGGGACTTTTGGGCTTGGGGATGGAGGGACCTGTGGAATTCGGGATGGAGTGACCTGTGGGATGCAGGACAAAGAAACCTGTGTGATTTGGGACAGAGGGACCTGGAGCTGCCCCTGTACAGGTGGGAAGGACAGTCTGCAGCATTTATTACATTTACAAAGCTGTATCCATACAAATGTGTAACCAAGAACAATACCTGGATATCGGGATATCTTACAGGACATTAAAACGCCGTACAGGATGCAAACACACAGAGCCATTGGGTTTGTACCACAGAGGGAAAAACCAAAACCAAGCCACCCCCTCCCCGAGCCCCCCACAAACCCCAGCCCGAGGCAGCCGCCTCCCACAGTCCAGCCTGGCCTATTTACAAGGAGAAAAGGGTGTCAAAGTCGAGACAAACAGAGCCCCCACACACACCTGGAACCCCCAGCCCAGGGATGGGGACAAGAGACAAAAGTGGCCCCGTGGGGACCCTTCCCCCGGGGCTGTGCTATAGCCGAGTCCGTGCTGGGGGTTGCAGCACTTCCCAAAACAATAATTCCAAATCAAAAGCTACAGTAACAATGTCCCCCCCCCTTTCCCGACCCCGGAGCCGGGCTGTCCCTACAATTCCCGTGCCGCTTTCCTTTGGTTCTCACCGTGCCGTGGGGGCCGTCGGGCGCTGCAGGCACTTGCTCATTGTTTTGTCCTTCACCCCCTCCCCGGCAAGGACAGGAGAGGAACCCTTGGGATCTGCATTCCCCGGGGCCTGTGTGCTTTTTCTGTCCATGTAGAAAGTTGGTCCCTTCCCTCGGAGCCGCTCCACTCCCGCCCTAAGCAGGGCAGCGCCTTCCCACACTCGCCCCTCACCGAAGCCTCCTGGCTAAAGGCACTGTAGTCTGCTTTTTTTGTATTTTATTTTATTAAAACCCCAATGTGAGGGCAGGAGGAGAGGGTGGGAAGGACGGTGGGGAGGGGGGAGACCAAAAATAAACGCTGGGAAATGGGCGCCCTTGGGGAGGGGGGGAGAGTCCCTCACCCTCCTGGATTTGAAACCCCCAACCATTTGGATGCCCCCAAATTTCCCACCAGGGCCCGGAGCTGTCGGCACCCCAGGGAGGAGAAAATATTCCAGAGGGTTGTCCTCCAACCCCCCCAGTGCCACCAAGCTGCAAGCAAGAGATAATTTTTAAGCTGGAAAAAAAAAACAAAACAAAAGAGAACTTACTGTGCAGAAGGGGAAGTGTCTGTGCAAGGCTTGGCCTGCCCAGAGCCTGAAACAGCATCCACAGGGAAAGCAAAGAAAGACCCAAACCCACGCCTGGCAAAGCTGGAGGTGATGGGACACCTGGACAGCTGCAGGTGTGCCTAAAAACCCCCAAATAAACACAAAAATGCAAAAAAAAAAAAAACCAAAAAACCCACAGCACAGCGAGGCTGAGGGGCAGTTTTTGGCTTCTGTGCTTGGCCCTTACCTGTGCTTGGCCCTTACCTGTGCAGCCAGGAGTCCCCACTCACAGCCCTGTCTCGTTCCAGGGGGGACACGAGCGGAGAGGGATTGAGGAGGAGAGGGAAAAGCGTTAGAAAAAACAGGGAATGTGGCAGCACCTGCGTGGCTCCCAGCTCCGGCATGCAGCTCCCGTGAGGCAAACCAAACTCCAAAAACCAAACCAGAGAAACAAACAAACGAGCAAACAAACAAACAAACAAACGAACAAAAACCAACACAACCCCCCCCTCCAAAAAAAAAAAAAAACAACCCACATTTAAAAAATACCCACCCACGTTTCTGTGTCTTATTTTTGCACTTTAAATTAATCTGCTGAATCGATAGAAAAATTAAGTATGTATAATTATTTCTTTTCTCCCTATGTACACGTATATATTTATATAGGTCTGTATAGAACATCCACATAGAAAAAGCCGGCCGGGCAGTCCCTGCTGGGGCGGGGTTTTAGGTCAAGGCTGAGCCCGCGCTGCCGTTCACAGTCGTTTTGCGGCACCGGGCGCCGCTGGGTGCCAGGGGGTGGCAGTTCGAGGTGCCGTTGAGGGTGGTGCCGGTGCCGGAGCTGGGGGAGCCGTGGGACGGGGTGCCAGGGCTGGGCAGGGAGGAGGAGGTGGCGGGGAGCGTGGCGGGGCTGTGGGCTTTGTCGCTGCCCGACTCGCACTCGGAGGCGCCGCTGGTGTTGGTGCCCTCGGAGGGGGCCGGGTGGGACAGCTTGAGCCGCTTGCAGGCGGGTTGGACGCGGTATTTCAGAGGCAGGGGGCCGTTCTGCGGGGAGGGGGGGGGTGCAGAGGGGCACAGCTGGCACCCTGTGGTGTCCACGGTACCCCACAGCACCCTATAGCACCCCATAGCACCCCACAGCACCCTATAGCACCCCATGGCACCCCATGGTACCCTATAGCACCCCATGGCAACCACAGTACCCCACAACACCCCATGGCACCCCTACAGCACCCCACAGCACCCCGTAGTACTCCACAGCACCCCATGGCACCCCACAACCCCCACAGCACCCCACGATATCCCACAGCACCCCACGACACCAGTGTGGCCACGGCAGGGAAGCAGCAGCTCGGCTCACCCTCCTCCAGGGGTAGATGTAGGCGATGTCCATCAGGGTGTAATATTCCTTCAGGGGCTCATCTTCATACAGGACTTCCACCTGGCCCAGGGGACACGGGTGACACCGTCAGAGCCCCGGGATGGGGACAGAATCACTGACAGTCCCCCCACGTGAGCCACCCGTAGGGTGTGTCAGGTGTTTGCTGTCCCCAAGTGACTCTCACAGAAATGGGGGCTCCCAAGACTCCTGGTTACATGGAACAGGCCTGGAAGGATGGATCCAGCCCTGGGGAAAGGATGGATCCAACCCCAGGAAAAGGGTGGCACAGCAAAGCTGTCTGGGGGCAGCAGAGCACGGCTCCTGCAGCGGGGGCTGCAACACAGGGGAGGCCAAACCAGCCTTGGCCCCTCTGAGCCCACCAGGGCACGGTGAAATCTGGGCAGTGAGCACCCCCCAGGGATCCCCTCACCTTGTACTTGCTGGGAACATCCATCTTGTTGTGCAGGAACTTGGCCAGGTGCATGACGGTCATGGCAGCGGGACAGCGCAGGAACCGCAGCCCGTTGCTCTGGGGAGACACGGCACTGAGGCCACCAGGCAGGTTTGGGCAGCCCCCACCTCCTCCAGCAGGAGCTTTGGGGTGCCCTCCCGTGCCCTCTGCGCCCCAAAAGGCCCAGGGGCAGCTGGACACGGAGCTGTCCATGTGGCAGTCCCACCACGCTCACCTTCTCCTTCTCCAGGTCCCCGTTCTCGATGGTCCCTTTCTTCTCCTCTCTGGGGGGGGGGGGAAAGGAGACACAGGACAAAGTTTAGGGAGGAATGAAAAAGTGGAGAGGAAAAAGAACTCCCCCAGAAGGGCTGTCCTTGGAGGGGCTGCATGGGGAGACATCCAGTGACCTTCAGCCAGGCTGTGGCTTCACCCCCCGACCACTTCCGTGCCCATTTCCAATCCAGGCCCCTGCAAACACTGACTCCCTCCAAAACGCTGCTCCAGGTGCCAGTGGCATCCTCAGAGGCCACCACCAGCACCAGGGAACACGGCAGCTCTCGGGAAAGAGCATCCCTGCCTGCCTGGCATGGTCCCTGCCCGTGGCAGGGGGGTGGAATGAGGTGACCTTTAAGGTCCCCTCCACCCCAAACCATCCCACGATCTCAGCGCCAGAGTGGGGGAGAGGAGGTGGGAGTTTCTCCCCAAGGCCCAGCAAAGCCAGGCAGAGGTTTGGGAGCAGCCCCAAAAGCGGTACCTGGAGCCCTCGTAGAACTCGATGGACAGGCTGACGATCTCATCATCCGTCAGGTTCCCCTTGTCCTGCTCGGACACCTCGCCACGATCCTCGTTGGACCCGTTGGGAACTGCGGAGGGGGGGGAGGGAGGGGCTGAGCCGCTGTTGGAGGGCACAGCAGGGTGAGGGGGGGGTCCCCAGGGCGTGGCACTCACCCTCGGCCACGGGATACGCGGCGTAGAAATCGCGGCGCCTCTTCATCTCATCTGGGAGGAGGAGGAGGAGGGAGGTGAGGGGGTAAAAACACCTCTCCAAGGGGAGACAGGGGCGAAGAGGGGAGTGAGAGGCCCCCCCAGACTGCCCAGTGCCCCCTCCCTTGGGGAGCAGGAGCAATCAATCTACAAACCCTCGGAGCCACTGCTGGCCCCTCAGCCTTTCCACACCTGCAGGTCCCACAATTCCCCCCCTAAAAGGCACTTGGAGAACAAATCCAGGCTCCTGCTCCCAGCTTTGCTTCCCGTGGGTCCCCTCAGAGCAGCCCCCGGAGCGTGGGGTGAGCCCATCCCTGGCTGTGCACGCACAGGTTGTCCTGCTGTCCCTGGTACTGCCCCCAAACCCCCCCAGCCACCCCTGCCCGTGGCTGTACCTTTGAAAAGCCCCGGGACCAGTTTGTACACAATGTCCTGAAGGGTTTTGTCCGACCTGGAGGGGGGAGAAATAGGAAAAGAGAGAGAAATCAGCGGGATTAGGGAGCAGGTTATTCCCAGGAAAGCTGCCCTGCACCATGTGCTCCCTCCTTCCCCCATCTCCCTCCTGAAAAATGCCCATCCCAAAGCCCCAAATGCCCATCCCACAGCGATACCACAATCCCCACCCTCACCACAAAGGGTTAACTCTGGGAAAAGAAAGAAAACCATCTCAAAAATCCCTGTAATTGCTGGGAATGATGACAGCAGGAGTCGGGGCCAGGAGCCATTTCAGCAGTCAAAACAATCACAAAAAACACACCAAGATTTTTAAAAAAAAATTAAATCTGAGATCAGCAAATGTTTCTGCAAGTTTATATTCGCATCCAATTTTATTTTTGGACTCCAAAGATTTATTTTGGAGCTGCAGCACAGGGCTCAGGCTTTCATTTCCCTCTGTGGGAAGGAGGGCAGGGCAGTGCCCACTGCCAGGCTGGTCTGTGGGAAAGTGGATTCCCTAAAATGGGACTATCCCGAGGCAGGATCTCCCAAAGCACTCGAGGAACCAGGGAAGCTCCAGCCCCATCCTCAGGCAGGATTTTGCTGGAAGGTTGGGACCTGCAGGCAGGGAATGGGGCACGACTGAACGCATCAAAACCAAAGCAAGAGCAGTGGGGCTGGTGAAAAGTCAATTATAGCTGCAATTATTTCCATTTCATAATAAGGCCTTTATTTGAAAGGAAAACAAACGACTGTGCCCTGTGTTATTTTTAGCCTGGCCACATCTTTCATCCCGAATTCCTCGGTGACGTCGCTCCGGCTCACAAGGCCCCCGCTGTGATTTTACTTGCAAGAAATACCCAGAGAATTCACTTTATAAATCACAGCAAGCCAAGGTAACATCAGCCCCAGCTGCTCAGTTCCCAGCTCTGCCACCAGCCAGCCCCACCAAGCCCAGTGTGGTGGCACTGGGGGGGGATCCAGGGAGGTGCAGGGGATGCAGCATCACACCCCGGTGTTGGCACCTGCTTTGGGAAGCAAAGGTGCACCCTGGGGCCACCAGGGCCCCCCAGGGCTTGGGGACACGGGCACAGCGGATCTGTCTGCACACACAGACGGGGATGTGTTGGAGGAGCCAGGGGAGCCCGAGTGTAAATATTTCATAGTGAACCAGAAAGGGAAAAAAAAATAAAAAAAAAAAAAAAAAAAAAAAAAAAAAAAAAAAAGAGGAGGAAAAAGTGTTACTACAGAAACGGATTTACAGGGAAGAGGCTAAAAAAATACACCTCAGGGTAAAGAACGGCCGGGTGATGCATCACAGCCTTGCCTGGTTTCTATGCCAACCACCTGCAGAGCCAATTCCACAACCGTGCCTGGATTTCCCCAGCTCACCTGATGCTGAGGAGGGGCCTGGTTTTGTGCACTTGGACATCACACATGGGGCAGTACTTGTTGGTCTCCAGGTAGCGGACGATGCAGGTTTTGCAGACTGTGGGGAGACACTGGGGGTGAGCAGAGGGACGAGGGGGCAGAGCCTCTGTGCCAGCCTGGAGTGGCACCCCCAGACCCCCACACCGGCTGGGGGACAGGACCCTGCCCGCTCCCAGCCCCATCCATCACCCCACAGCTCCACACGGACCCAGGGGGAGTTTGGGCACTGTGGGAGGGGGTTGGTGTGGGATGAACACCCTGTGGGGGCCCAGGACACTCACAGGAGTGCAGACACTCCACGATGGTGGTGGCGTCGATGAAGTAGCCGCCGCACAGGGCGCACATCAGGTGGGGGTTCAGCTCGGTGATCTTTATCCTGGTGGTCCTGTGCATTTTGGAGCAGCACCACGGCGGGTCCTCCCTGCAGGGAAACACCCAGGATCCCCTTAACGGCAGCTTTGTGCAAGGATGGGACCTGCAGGACTCACTTCACCCTTCAGGGAACGAATCCAATGTCACTCCTGGCCCAGGGAGCGCTGGGGCACTCCCAGCCCTGCGCCCCTCCAGCCCTGGGGGTGCACAAGCAGCATCCACACATCTCCCTGTGCAGCCCCCCATGCTCCAGGTGCTGCCCAGCTCCCTCTGCCTCATGTTTGTGTCTCCCTGGGGTCCCCAAGTGGGTCCCCAAGGTGCTGAGACACCTCTGAGTGGGGACAAATCCCCCCTGTCAGCCAGTCCCTCGCCCAGAGCTCCCGTGTGCCCACACAGACAGACAGACAGACACACACACACACACACAGAGTGGGTTTGGGTTTGTTCCATGCAAAAGGCTCTTCCAGCCACCATCCCACGGTTTCTACAGAAACCCCCGAGCCCTGGTGTTGGCCCTGCAGGTGTGCAAGGCCAGGTAAGCCCTGGGGACACGGGCAGCGGGAATCGGGAATCGGGAATTGCCGCCTTCCCGCCCCGGCGCTTCCACGTTTACAATGGGAGACGGCGGAGCCCGAAATCGCTGCAGTTTTATGGTTTCCATGGCAACCCCGATACTTGGAGAGGAGCCAGAATATTATTACAACCATCCGAGGAGAGGGGGAGAGGGGAGGAGGATCCCTGGGATTGTGGAAATGAGGGGTGGGCTCAGCGGCACCGGCAGCGACCCCCGTGGGCACCCACTCCCCACCACGGGGAGACACACGTGTGTAACACATGTACACACATGTACACACATGTACAGACATGTAAACACATGTACACACAGGTACACACACATACACACCTGTACACACATGGGCTACACTTACATACATCTATCCATCCCCCCCCCACAGGTACACAGGTACACCTGCACCACGGATGGGACACCTCTGGGACCGGGATAGAGATGCTGCAGGGATGGGGACACTACTGGGACTGGGATGGAGATGCCACAAGGATGGAGACACCACTGGGATGCTGCAGGGATGGAACCCCATTGGGACTGGGATGGAGATGCTGCAGGGATGGGGACACCACTGGGACCGGGATGGAGATGCTGCAGGGATGGAACACCTTCGGGATGGGGCCCTCGAGACAACCCCTGTGCTGGAGGGGCAGTGACCAAGCCAAGCTCTGGGATTCTCTTCCAGAGGCAGGGGAGGGCCAGGGGCACTGGGGGCTTTGGAAAACCCCACTCCCCACTCCCTCAGGCTCAGCTCTCCCCCCTGGACACCCCCTGAAATGTGTCCCTTGTTGCCCCAGGGCAGGTACCCCCAAGTCCTGCACAGCCCACCAGTGATGGGGGAGGGGGGGGCACTGCCAGCCCCCTCCCCATGTCGAGGGGTGCCTCGGTCCCCTGTCCCCAGCCCCTCGTGCCGCCCACGCGGGGCCGCGGGACCCACGGCTGCATTTTGGGGGGGATTCTGCAGCTTTCGGCGCTCGCAGGCGCCAATGGCGGCCCCGGGGCTCGGCGGGAGGGGGGAGCCCGAGCCACCGGCGCAAACCGGTTCTAATAAACCCGGTGATAACCACGGCGATTTCCTGCCGCGGGGGCGAACAAAGCCCCGGCCCCCCCCGCGCACCGGGACCCGCCGCAGCCCCCGGGGCCGCCCCGTCCCGCCGGCAGCGCCCGCCACCCCCGGCCCCGCTCCCGAGCGGCTCCCGCGCCCCCGGCCCCGACTTTCGGGGTCTTTTGTCTCCGTGGGCGGTGGCCCGGCACGGTTCCCCCACCACCACCCCCTTCCCCAAACCCCCACGGCCACGGCACGCGTGGGGAAGGACGTTTCAAAGTCACCGGTAACTTAGACCCGAGCGGTCGCCCCCCCTTCCCCGCGGGACCCACCGGCGGCGGCGAGCGCGGGGCTCGGGACATACATCGGGACGGGTCCCCGGCACGGCCCGACCCCGCACGACCCCACGGGGCCCCACGCACCGCGGACACGACGAGGCGGCCCCCGCGCCCACCGAGAGCGCCCGCCGGGACCCCCCGCCACTGCCGGGGTGCGGGACGCGGGCACCGGGGAGCCGAACACCGGGATGCGGGGAGGGGGGAAAAGCCCCGCGGGGCGGGCACCGACACGCGTGTCCACACACAAGGACACACACACACACACAGAGCCCCCCCAGGTCCCGGCGGCGGGACATGTCCGCGGTGCGTGACACCCGGCGGGCACGGACCCGCGACGGGCAGGGACCCGCGAGGGGCACGGGCAGGGGATGGGCACGGACACGGGATGGACACGGACACGCGTGACTCCGCGCTGTGCCCGGGGGAGGAGTGGGGGCCCCGTTCACGACCGGCAGCTCCCGCTGCGTTTCGGGGACATTCCTGCCCCCCCCGCCCCCCTCCGGCTCGGGGCAGCCCCGGTGTCCCCGGGGCGTTCCCGGTGCCCCGCAGCCCCTTTGTGCTCGGGGCCGGCTGTGACAGCCCGGCCCGGCCCCTCCGCCCGCCCCGGGGGGGCTCCCGCCGCGCCCCCCGCACCGCCCGCGCGCGGGCCGGGCAAGGAGAGGGGCGAGCGCGGCCTCCCCGGGGCTGTGGGGGCTCCGCAGCCGCTGCCGCCGCCCCGGGGGTCCCGGTACCCGGGGCCGCGGCACAAAGCGGGGGAGGCGGCGGCCATCGGCCATCTTTGAGCGCGGGGCGAGGCGCGGGGGGGCCCCGCGGCGGGGCCGAGGGCGGGGGCACCGGGCCCGGTCCGTACCTGGTGGCGGTGGCGGCCCCGCGGCCGCCCCTCCGCTCCCGCCGCTCGGCGCGGCTCCGCTCGGCTCGGCGCTGCGCCGCCGCGGCCCTTTTTTTTTTTCCCTCTCGCTCTTCTTTTTTTTTTTCCCTCTCCTTTTTTTTTTTTTTTCCCTCCTTCCTCCTCCTTTTTTTTTTTTTTTTATTTTTCCTCCCTTCTCTCTTTTTTTTTTTTTTTTATTTTCCCTCCTCCAGCCGCCGCCAGGCCACGCCCGCCTCACGTGACCTCATTCCTTTGGGGGGTTGCGGAGGAGGGGAATGAGGGGCCGAGATTGGGGGGACCCCCCCACCTTCCCCAAGCGTCCCCACCCCGCCCCGGTGGTCGCGGAGGGTCCCGCCGCTCCCCCCACTTTGTGCTCAGAGGGGAAATGAGAGCGCCCCAAAAACCGCTGGTGCCCCGGGATCCCCCAACCCCAGGGAATTTGGGGTCCCAAATGGAGCAATTCCCACTCGGGACGTGACGTGGGAGATGCGGGATCTTCCCCGGGACTCGGTGCTCGGCAGGGAGGGCAAAGCAAAGGGAAGAGGGGAAAAAGGAAGGGAAGAAAATAGAGGGAATTTAGAGAAAGATGAAATGGAAAATGAGGGCGAACAAAAAGAGGAAACAAATACAGAGGGAAATTAGAGAAAGGAAGGGGGAAATGGGAAAGGAGAGGGGGAAAGGAAGGGGAGAAAAATAGAGGGGGGAAAAGAAAAAAGAAAAGGGAAGAAAAATAGAGGGGAATTGGAGAATGGGAAAATGGAAAAGGATGGGGTGGAAAGGAAAGGGGAAAAAAAGAAGGGAAGAAAGTAAAGGTAAATTAGAGAAAGGGGAAAATGGAAAAGGATGGGGGAAAGGAAAGGGGAAAGGAAGGGAAAAAATACTGGGGAAAATTAGAGAAAGAGAAGGAAAAAATTAAAACGGAGGGGAGAGAGGAATGGAAGAAAAACGGGAATTAGAGAAAGGGAGAGAAAATGGAAAAAGAAGGGGGGGAAAAGGAAAGAAAAAAGGGGGTAAAAGTAAAGGACGGAGGAAAGGGGGAAAAGGCAGGAAAAGGGAAGGAGGGAGAATAAAATTTAAAAAATAATAATAAAAAAGGAAAAGCGGGAAAGAATTAAAAGAGGGGGAAGGGGGCAGGGAGAGGAGGCGGGCGGGCGCTGCCGCACACGCCGCGGTACCGGTGGTACCGGTGGTACCGGTGGTACCGGTGTCACCGGCGGCTCGGCGGGCGCAGCGCCCACGCGCGTCCCCTCGCCCACGGCTGCGGCCCCGCCCGGTGCCGGTGTCGCGGTGCCCAGTGGACCCACTACCGGGTGCCGGTACCCGCACCAAGGTCCCAGGGTCTCGGGGCCCCGTTTCCCGGTATCCCGGTTCCCGGTGCCGGTGCCCTGCTTCCCGGTATCCCCAGCCCCGTTTCCCCCGTTCCCGGTGTTCCGGTGCGGGTATCCCTATTCCTTGTCCACCCAGCCCCAGTATCCCTATTCCCCTGCAGCCTCGGTATCCCGGTGCCGGTGTCCCTATTCCCAGTGCCCCCATCCCCGGTACCCCTATTCCCGGTTTTCCGCAGCCCCAGTGCCGCGTTTCCTGGTACCCCCAGCCGCGGTGTCCCTATTCCCAGTTTCCCAAGCCCCGATGCCCTGTTTCCCAGTCCCTGCAGCCCCGTTATCCCAGTGCCCCAGCCCCATTATCCCCGTTATCCCGGTGCCCCAGCCCCATTATCCCGGTGCCCCAGCCCCATTATCCCCGTTATCCCGGTGCCCCAGCCCCATTATCCCAGTGCCCCCAGCCCGTTATCCCAATTATCCCGGTGCCCCCAGCCCGTTATCCCCGTTATCCCGGTGCCCCAGCCCCGTTATCCCTGTTATCCCGGTGCCCCCAGCCCGTTATCCCCGTTATCCCGGTGCCTCCAGCCCGTTATCCCGGTGCCCCCAGCCCCGTTATCCCCGTTATCCCGGTGCCCCCATCCCGTTATCCCGGTGCCCCCAGCCCGTTATCCCCGTTATCCCGGTGCCCCCAGCCCGTTATCCCCATCCCGGCTGTCCCGGTCCCGCTGAGTGCGGCGGGCGCGGCGCCGCTCGCAGCGCGGTCTCTGTGGCGCAATCGGTTAGCGCGTTCGGCTGTTAACCGAAAGGTTGGTGGTTCGAGCCCACCCAGGGACGGTGCCACCGCTTTTTTCCTACCTCCCTCCGCCGCTCCTTCTGTTTTTTCCCCTCTTCTTTTCCCAGGGCTCCCTCCAAATCGGCCCCTCTGCACCTCAGTGTCCTGTAACGTGTCGGGACGTTAAATCGGAGCAGAGCCTGTTTCCATCCAGATTTTCCATATTTCGCCTCAGAAATAAACTGAATGGGGGGGGGTCCAAAACTGCGTTTGCTGAGCTTTCCCCCAAAAAAAAAAAAAAACTCTCATAAAATCTATTTATGTTCCCTGCTTGCCCTGGTTTTATTTTCATACCAGAAATAATGCAGTTTCTGGTGTAATTCAGGGCACAAAGTCGTGCTGGAAGATCCCTGTTATTCCCATCTGGCTCTGCTCCTCCGTCTCTCCCCAGTGCCTGGGATGTTCCCACCAGGCAGAATGCGGGCTCTGACTTCTGCCAGAAACATTTTACAATGGAAAACACTTTAAAAATACACTTTAAAACGCACTTTAAAACAGCCACAGGCCGGGCTGTGCTTCCAGGACTTGGTCCCAGGATGGATGAACAGCCCCAGCCTGGGACAGAGGTTTCCATTGGAACCAGGGCTGTTTCCAAACACATGGATCTCTTTCCCTTTGGCACAACTTCACTCCCCGAAATGAAACATTTAATCCTGTTCTCTCCAGGACAGAGCTGGTGGGTGAGGAAGGGAATCCAATGCTCTGCAGAGTGAATTCCCCCCCCCGGAATAAAGAACACCCTCCCAGCCACAGGCCCTTCCCCTCCCCTGGGTGACTCCACAGAGAGACTTTACAGAGGCACTTCTTGGTGCTGGCACCTTCCAAAGAGGTGTTTTCCCTCTGGGCCGCCCCATAGAAGAGTTTTGGGTTTGTCCCTGGATCCCAGATGGAGGGGGTGTGAGGCCTGAAATCCAGATGATATCCTGATGTATCCAGCTGTGCCATGTTCTGACGGTGCCGTCTCCCTATCGGCCTATCCAGCTGTGCCACCCCTGCTCCAGCTGTGCCCCCATTGATCCAGCTGTGCTCCCATGGATCCAGCTGTGCCCCCATTGCTCCAGCTGTCCCCATACCCAGCCGTTCCTGATCCATCTGTCCCCCCATCCAGCTGTTCCCTACCCCTTTGTTCGCGATCCATCTAGACCCCCTTATCCCACCGTTCCCGGTCCCTCTGTCCCCAATCCCTCATTCCCCCGTTCCCTCTATTCCCCATCCCTCCATTCCTGCTCCCTCCGTTCCTGCTCCCTCCGTTCCCGATCCCTCAGTTCCCATCCCGGTGTTCCCCATCCTGCCGTTCCCCATTCCCGGTGTTCCCGATCCCTCCGTTCCCATCCGGTGTTCCCGATCCTCAGTTCCCATCCCGGTGTTCCCCATCCCGTGTTCCCCATCCGTGTTCCCGATCCCGCGTTCGATCCCTCCGTTCCCATCCCGGTGTTCCCGATCCCTCAGTTCCCATCCCGGTGTTCCCCATCCCTCCGTTCCCATCCCGGTGTTCCCCATCCCTCCGTTCCCATCCCGGTGTTCCCGATCCCTCCGTTCCCATCCCGGTGTTCCCGATCCCGCCGTTCCCCATCCCTCCGTTCCCATCCCGGTGTTCCCCATCCCTCAGTTCCCATCCCGGTGTTCCCCATCCCGGTGTTCCCCATCCCGCCGTTCCCATCCCGGTGTTCCCCATCCCTCCGTTCCCATCCTGCCGTTCCCATCCCGGTGTTCCCGATCCCTCCGTTCCCATCCCGGTGTTCCCATCCCTCCGTTCCCCATCCCGGTGTTCCCGATCCCTCCGTTCCCATCCCGGTGTTCCCGATCCCTCCGTTCCCCATTCCCGTCATTCCCCTCGCTCCGTGACTCTTCACTTTTCCCCCGCCCCTCCCCTCCCGGTCCCCCTCAGCCAATCAGCTCCTCGCTCGGCCTCCCGTCCCGCCAATGGCGAGCGGCGCTGCGGGCGGGGGGCGGGACCAGCGGGGGTTGAGCCGGGACCGATCCGGGATCGAGCGGGGTTTCAGTCGGGGTTTCAGTCGGGTCTGAGCGGGTTCCGAGCGGCCGCAACCATGGTGAGCTCCGGGAGCTGCCCGCGGGTGGCCGGGGGAGGCGGGAGGGCTGGCGGGAGGGCGCTCCCCGCGGGTCCCCGCCGGGCCGAGCCCACGCGGCCGGGCCGGGCCGGGCCCCGGGCGTGCGGCGGCCCCGGCGGTACCGCCGAGCTCTCCCCTTGCAGTCGATCATGTCCTACAACGGCGGGGCCGTCATGGCCATGAAGGGCAAGGGCTGCGTGGCCATCGCCGCCGACCGGCGCTTCGGGATCCAGGCGCAGACCGTCACCACCGACTTCCAGAAGATCTTCCCCATGGGAGAGCGGCTCTACATCGGGCTGGCAGGGCTGGCCACCGACGTGCAGACGGTGTAAGGGAGGCCCTGCCGGCCCCGTGTTCCCGTTTATTTACGATAAATGCCGAGGGGCAGCTCGTGCTGGGCGTAAATATCTATGTGTGTTCATAAGGAGGGGATAACGTGTATAATTAATGTAATGTGATGTAATGTATTGCGATGTAATAGGTGCCAGCACTTCTGGTTTTGGCCTCCCTTCTGTGAGAGCTTTTTAAGTAAACCTGCATGTGATTTAAGGCCACATCACTACTAAAATTTAACTCGGGATATAAGAAGGGCTGTGTGTGCACCACCTGCCTCGGGTGCTGGTGTCTGTCAGCAGCAGAACAGCTCAGGCACGGGTGGAGGGCAAAGGAAAACCAACCTGCCTTGCTTTAATCCCACTTCTCATCTCTTGCAGTGCCCAGAGACTGAAGTTCAGGCTGAATCTCTACGAGCTGAAGGAGGGAAGGCAGATCAAGCCCCAGACTTTTATGAGCATGGTTTCCAACCTGCTCTACGAGAGACGGTAACTCCCAGGCAGATCCTGTTCCCTGTCCCCTGTCAGGGAGGGCTGAGGTTCCTGGAGCTGATCAGGTTCCAGAGGTGGGAGCCTGAGTGGGGTCCCTGTGACAGCTGCTCGTGGTGTGGCCAAAGGGGACCGGATAATTTAGTGATGTTTGTCCTGTTTGTCCTTGCCAAAACCATTGCAGGGTGCTTCCAGTTCGCCCTGGAAGGTTCTCCCACGGAAAGCAGCTCTGGGATGTTTTCCTTGGCTGGACAGGGGGGGATTGCTGGGGCGTCCTGGGCAGGGCCAGGAGCTGGATGGATGATCCTTGGGGGTTCCTCCCCCCAGGTTTGGCCCCTATTACACAGAGCCCGTGATTGCCGGGCTGGACCCCGTGACACACGAGCCTTTCATCTGCTCCCTGGACCTCATCGGCTGCCCCATGGTCACCGACGACTTCGTGGTCAGCGGCACCTGCTCCGAGCAGATGTACGGGATGTGCGAGTCCCTCTGGGAGCCAGACATGGTGAGCCAGGGCTGGGATCAGCTGGGATCCATGGACTCACCCTCCTGTGTTCACCGGGGAACTGGGATACGTGGGAAGCTCCGTCCTGTGGTACTTCCCCTCCCGCAAGGAGCTCGGGAGAAGAGGGTTAAACAGCCTGAGGGAAAAGTCCTGCAGGATCTTGGATGGCAGCTGGGGCTTTGCACCAAATCCATGCAGCTTTTAGCCCAACTTGTGCTGCTTCTGTTCCCCAGGAGCCCGACCACCTCTTTGAGACGATCTCCCAGGCCATGCTGAACGCCGTGGACAGAGATGCCATATCTGGGATGGGGGTGGTGGTTCACATCATGTAAGTGCTGCTCCCCGTGGAACAGGGGGAGAATTGAACAGGCTCTGCACTCAGTTCACTGAAGGGATTGCTTTCCAGGCTATCCCTGACCTTGCTCCCTTCCACCAGCGCCTGTAGAAATGCTTTGTTCGTTCTGAGTGTCTTTATTTGAGTGGCTGTTGCTTGAACTGCGGGAGAAGTGAATCCTGGAGGCAGATTTCTTGCTGCCCAGGGATTCCCTGGCTGCATTCCCCCTGGGTGCAGTGTTAACTCCCAGCTCTGCAACTAAACTGGCTCCTGAAACAGCTTATTTTACTCCCCTGCAGCATCCCAGGCACCCCAAACCTGGGAGCTCCCCTGGGGAGGAAGAGCAGGAGGGGGTTTACTCATTGTCACAGCCACCCTAAGTTCAGGTGCCCCTGCCTGCACTAGTGCAGCCCACCTGTGCTCCTGCAGCTTCCTAAGGGGGGACAAGCTGGATGTGGGGACTAAACATGGATTTATTAATAATCTTCTGTCTTTCCCCCTCTAGAGAGAAAGACAAGATCACCACGAGGACCCTGAAGGCTCGCATGGACTAGCCCAGCACAGCTGCTCCTGTGTCACACCCCTCCTGGGACTTTTTAAAATAAACCTCTGGATTGGAGTGAACTTTGCTTTGCTTGGTCTGAACACGAGGATCGAGTTCTCCTCCCTAAAGCCACGAGGAGGAGCTCAGGTTTTAGGTGGGAGCAGAGCTCACCTTTCCCTCTGAGCCACCTGCAGCGATTCCCTCAGTGCACCCGGACGTGAAGGGCTGAGCTGCAGCTCGTGGAGTGGCACAAATCCACTTGTTCCGGCAGCCAGGACTTGGTAAAATCAGTTCTTACCTAAGCCCCCATTTCACAGGCCCTGGAAAAAAGGCTTCTCCAGTTGTGGTTCAAAGAATCATGGGATGGTTTGGGTTGGAAGGGACCTTAAGGATCATCCAGTGCCACCCCCTGCCATGGGCAGGGACACCTTCCACGAGCTCAGGTTGCTCCAAGCCCAGTCCAACCTGGCCTTGGACACTTCCAGGGCTGGGCAGCCACAGTTTCTCTGGGCATCCTGTGCCAGGGCCTGCCCACCCTCCCAGGGAGGAGGAATTCCTTCCCTCTGGCAGTTTAAAGCATCCCCCTTGTGCTGCCCCATGTGGGGGACACCTACCTGGCTGATGAGAGCAAAGAGCGCAGCAGGGAGGCACAGCTGTACACAAAGTTTTAATTTTATTTTTCTCTGGTTGGAGACTCATCTTGTAACATGCATGCATTTCAAAACAGTAACAGTGTCTCAAACTGCTCCTAGCAAACAGACAAGCACAGAGGACTTAAAATTCCTATTTAAAAAACAGCAGTGAAAAAACCTAGAATGTTTAATTTTTTTAAGGTTTTTTTTTTTTTAGTTTTTCATTTTTAGTTTTTAAACTTAATTTATTCACATTTTTTTCTTTTTTTCAGTTGCACTGATTAGCCCTGCCCAACCCTTTGTGACCTGTGTGTCATCCACTCAACACAACTCCATCCTGCTGCTTTTCTTTTTGGGGGAGGGGGTTGTGCAGCCAGAGAGCAGCACAACTTCGGAGTGGGAAACACTGAAACCACCCCAAAAACGACGAGCAGCAGCTGGCTCTGGAGCTCTGCCAATTCCAAAGAGCAAGGAGAACGGGCAGTGGCTGTGATGGGGACAGTGGGGAATGGCTCTGCAGGGGTGGGGCAGTCCAGGGGGGGCACACGGGCTGGGTTTGGTGCCCATGGTGGGGACACAAACACTGACCTTGGCAAGGGTGGGGGCACCCCGGGGTGGGACACTTCCTGCAGCTCAGGGAGGCATGGAAAAGACTGCATAGTAGTCACAGGACTGGGAGCATCCACCACCACAGGCCCCCCAAACTACCACACAGCCTCCTTTCCCCCTCTCTCTGGGCTCCCCACCTGCTGGCTGGGGCAGCGCTTTGCAAAGCAGGAATTTCCTCCCCACCCTTCAGCCCCCACTCCCCAAAAAAAAAAAAAAGGAAATAAGACTCAAGTGGTTTAGTTTTCTTGCTGATTATGCTAAAATCTGATTCCAAACCAGGATGCAGGAGCACAGCCTCCTTTTTTCAGGCATCCCGAGTCATCTCCTGCCCCCAAGGGATGAATTTCGTGATTTGTGGCTTTTAGAATTAAACCCGGGTCAGGCAGAGAGACCAGAGGGAAGGATCCCACCCTGCCACGAGGAGTGAACTCCTGCTGGTATTCCCACAGCAAATTCCAAACCCCCTTCCCAGCGCTGGCACCAAGGGTGGGAGCTCCTGGGAGCCCTTGGAACACCCAACATGCTCTGGAGTGGTTTTTATTGCACTACTGGGGCAAAGCTGTGGCTCTGCCCTTCCCTCTCCCACTCGTGGTTACACTGGAGGAGCTGAACCCACAGGGAAGGTGGAAACTCGAACTTCAGAGCAGGTTTGAGTTGCTAAATTCTGAGAGATCAGAGAGAGAGAGCCCCTGTGGGGTGCAGATCCCTGCACAGCTCACCCTTCAGGCGCTGCACTGATGGGTTTGGAACTCCAGCTCACCACCCTGCACTGGGTTTGGTCGGGAAAATCCTGCATTCTGATCCAAATCTGAGCATCCTGAACACCCAACTGCAGGTCTGGCAGCCCGGGGGGACAGGGGGGGTCAGTCAAATGCACTTCAGTGTAAAGTGTTCTGCAGGGGACATGCTACAGACAGAAATATCTACATTCAGCAAACTAGAACTAAATTCACACCAGGAACAGACAACAAACTAGCACAAGCAGTTGTAAAACCAGAATTGAAAGGGCTGGGTTGTCCTTTTTTTTTTTTTTTTTTAAATACTCGAGTTAAAAAAGTGACCTAAAACAAGACTAAAAAAAAAACAAACAAAAAAAAAACCCCAAACAAAACCAAAACAACAACAACAAAAAAAAAACCAAACGAAAGAAAAAGTCCCTTTTAAAAACAAATCAAATATTTGCAGCTTCACTTCTTATTCTGGTAATAAAAATACTGTCTAGAAACAAAAAAAAAATTAGCATTTTTAACGTAATGCTACCTCTCAAAATGTAAACAATATACAAAATGCTTATGTTAAACAAAGTTACATACCTGGGTAAATACATCATTAAGTGATAAAATTGCATTTAATTACTTTAGTACACACAATATGGCAACTTGACAGAAGTGGCAGAACTGGGGAAGTGCTAAAGTGATTCGAGTTTGTGGGGCTTCTCAGATCACTTGAGCCAGAAACAGCCAATTTAATCCTTGCAGGAGTTTGGAGTGGAATAAGAAAATACAGTTAACTGCTCTTAAGCCCTTTTTACCATGACTTCTGCAAAAAGACTGCTGCAGGAATTAACTGTATTTTAACTTTATTCCTCTTTATGAAATCGGGTGAAGGAGATTTTTGCTCCTAATTCCACTCAGGTTTCTTTGGGTTGTTTGTTTTGTGGGGGTCTGCAGTTCACTCACTTCCTTCTTTCTTTCCCCCCCTTATTTTTTTCCCCTCTTCATTCTATATATTTTTAAATAGATGATTTCAAGAGAAACAGTTCCAAAAGCTGCTTTCCCAAAAGGAGAAGGGCAAAACTTACCAAGCCAAAGTTGCAGATATTCAAGGCAGGGTTTTTTTTTTAAAAACTGTCAGGAATAAAAAGTGATTTAATTTATTTCCATTTCTAACTGGCAGTAAACTTAAGTGCTTATCGCTCGAGAGAGAAAGCAAACCAATCTAATGCCCACAAAAGGAAGCTGGTGATGCCCTCCAAGTCCTCCCTTTTTTTTTTTTTTTTTAAAGGATTCTCAACAGCTGCATTTGGATTGTGGTTTTTTCACCTTAAGACACGAGACCCTCCCAGACAAGGGTGTGTTTGCCCCGCCCAGGACAGGGATGGGACTCCAGGAATTTGTCCCTCGTTGAAGGGAACGTTACAAGCCCTAATTTTTGACTTTTAAAGACCCTATTTACAGTGCACTCTCGTGGGCTCAAGCTTTGTGGGATTTTTTTTTTTCTTTTTTGTTTGTTGTCCCCTTCAAAGCTGAGACCTGCGGGATTCACGTCACGAATGCTGGGGATGGAACACGAAACTAAAAAAAAAAAACAACACAACAAAATAAACCCCACAAAGCCCCCACATTCAGGATCAGTCAGGGGAATTACCAGGATGTGATGATGAGCACCAGTTATCTCTCAAAAAGGACCAAATTCCACACAGCAAACTGTAGCACGTGTTACAGCACAGGACAGAGACATTCCAAACAGCTTATTCCCGAAACAAAAGGCATATGTGAAAAAACAGTTTTCAAGGCAGATAAGCAACATGTTTTCAACTGCAAGATGGTTTGTTCAAAACGCTAAATCCTGCTCCAAAAAAAAGAAAAAATTAAAAAAAAAAGAAAATGAAAAAAACAAAAGAACCAAAGGGTCTGTAACTTGTGCAGCAGAGCTAAGAAAACCCAAAGCGAGCCTGACAAGCTTGGCTGTGAAAAGTATTACAAGCATTCTGGAGACAAAACAGGACGTTATTCAGTCACTCCAATCAGTTCCAAATCCTTAGGGGGATGGAAAAATAATCTGGCGCAAGTGTTCAAACATTTCCACTCCTTGACTGTCGCTCTAGAGAGGGGTTTGGAGCAGAGGAGAGTAAAACCAACCACAGCTCAAGTCCTGAGTCCTCTTGAGCAGTGGAATTCGCTCCACAGTCACAGCTCCCAGCACTCCCCACTGGCAGCGAGTCCAACTCCTTCGTGTGCAAGTCACATTGCCATCGGAAAAAGAGAAACCAACTGAGCCAAGAAACCTCTGTCAGGAAACAAATTCAAGTACCTGTTGCAGATGGGGTGGGTAAGGAAGACTGAACATTAGCTAGATTAACACTGGCAGGACTGTGATGGTCAGCTGTGGCCTAAGAGACGCGGCAATTCCTGACCGAGGCGCGGCAGGGAAACGTCCCGAGAGTCAAATGTTATCCCATATCTACAGGTACAAAATGCCTTTTTTTTTTTTTTTTCTTTTTTCTGGTTTTCTTTTAGGGAAATCTTCAGAGCTGGCCAATTGAAAGCACAATGGGTCCGAGCACATCATTAGCTGAGGTTGGTCAATGCCACTACTACTTCTCACACTGGTTGTTTTTTTAAGGTTCTACGAGTTACACCTTTTTTTTTTTTCTTTTTTTTTTTAAGAGATCATCTTTGGTAGATGTTCATTTCCCTCGTCCTTCTTGTAAATCAAGTGCAGTTACAAAAAAGTTTTTGTTTTTTGTTACTTAAATTAACCAAAAAATATAAAGTGTCCCAGTCTGAATTTACCTAAAGTTCAGCGACTCCTCCTTATCAGAGTTATAGTTTCCATCCTTGAAATGGTGAGCTATTTTCCTTCCAATTCCTACCAAGAGGGAAATAAAAGGGATTGTATGTCTTTCTGGTCAAGACAGTCCAATAAAATAAAAATAATAAAAAAAAAAAGGAGTAGTTTGTGGAATCAGGCACTGCTTCACTCCCACTGAACATGATCTAGAGCCACCCCTTTATACAGTGCCACGTCATATCCCTCTGGGATCCTCCTGATCAGAGAGGAGAAAATGTCACTAGAAAGAGCAGTGCTGAAACAATGCACTTTGCTTGGTTTAAAAAGCCCTCAAATCTTAATGTCTGGGCACTTCTGTAACATAAAATCCCACTTTTCCTCCTGGGTCAAGTGGACTGTTGGAGGGTGCACCTAAGAATGAGTTTTTCTCTGAAGTCACGCAGTGCCACACACTCACCTTGCACACACACACACACAACCCACACACACACACCCCACACACACCCCACATGCTGCTACAGTGTCTGTTTGAGTGTCACAGGCTGCGTTCTCTGGGTGAAGGAGCCCCTCTGCTCTTCCTTCCTCGCTGAAGGCTGAAGACAACTATGTCAGGATATTGGAGATGAACTCGTTGAAGCGTTTCGAGTACTGCTCGGGGTTCACGGTGGAGATCTCTGCCCCAGCCTGCAAGGCAGAGACACAGCAGTCACACACCCTCCTCTGAGGGCCAGCAGGGGTGGCAGGGAGGGGCCCTGGCAGCACAGCTCTGCTGGGAAAGACTCATAACCGTGCAAGTTCTAGGACAAAAACCAGCAGGTCTAGAGAGATCCCCCAGGGAAACTGCTTTTAGCTCCAGCTGCGTCTTCAGGCCACGGAGACAAAGCACTGGATTTGTTTCCTGGTGGTTTCCAGGAGATTTAGAAGGAGCATAAAGAAATCATAATGGCTGGAGCTGGGTCAGGGGAGGGTCAGGGTGGGTATCAGGGAAAGGTTCTTGCCCCAGAGGGTGGTTGGCACTGAACAGGCTCCCCAGGGCAGTGGGCACAGCCCCAAGGCTGCCAGAGCTCCAGGAGGGTTTGGACAGCGCTCTGAGGGACAGGGGGGGATTGTTGGGGTGTCCTGGGCAGGGCCAGGGATTGGACTGCATGATCCTGATGGGTCCCTTCCAACTCTTTCTATATAAACTCCACATGGTGGTGGTGGTGGGTTGATGGTTGGACTTGTGGATCTTAAAGGTCTTTTCCAACCTTAACGATTCCATGATTCCATGTCCTGCTAACCTGGGCTTTTCCCAAGCCCTTTTGGGCAGTTCAGGATTGCTGCCAGGGCACAGGAGTGGCCCCCTGCAGCCAGTGAATCCCTGCTCCGTGAGGTGCCTCAAGCACCTCCCAAACCGGGATGTAAACACAAATCAGCCCCAAGCACCCAGAGAGAAAACCTTCATGGGACAGTGGTGAGGGAAGAGCTGCTCCTGCACACAGGCACTGCAGAATTTCCACACTGGGAGGAAAATCAGTGCCAGGAGACACCACACACACACACAGACACACACACAGAGGGCCATGCAGGCAGAGCAGAAGCCCCCAAGCCCACCTCCCTGCAGGTGCCAGGCTTACCCCGTGTTTCACTGTTTTGGCAGCATGTGCAGCTTTCTTCTTCGCGTCGTAGGGCGTGAGAATGTCTATGATGGCCATGAAGTAAACTTCCTTCTTGGGGGCACCTGGCGAGGCAAGAGAGTGGCTGGCACCCCCTGAGCAAAGCCCAGCTCCGCTCCCCTCCTCCACAGACACCCAGCAGAGCTGGCTGGGTGAGGCTGGCAGGGAAAGCAGAGCAGGAGGGGCAGGGAACACCGGTGGGCCAGCACAGCAGAAGCATCACTTCTACCCCTTCCAGCTGAGCACAGCAAAGGGGAGGGACGGTCCTGGCACTGCGCTGAGCCCCAGGGCACCTCCCCTGCCCCCCACAGCTCCACAGCACTCACTTTCGTGGCTTTTCATGGCGTAGACGTCGACGGAGGGGTCGAACTCGCCGGGCCCGAAGAAGCGGGGGTAGTTGAGGAGGTTTCCGGGGCTGTCCGGGGGGGTCCCGTAGGAGGAGATGGGGTTTCCCCCCAGGCCGTCGTTCTCACACTCCTCATCCTCGGCCCGATCCTCCACTTCCATCTCCTCCTGCTCGGCCCGGTCGACGTCGTGGATCCCAACCAGCAAACTGTAATCCATGATCTTCAGCTGGGCCAAGAACTGGGGGGGAAAGAGAGCAGTGAGAACAGCAGCACCCACAGGAGTGGGATCACAGATCCTCCGTCCTGCCCTGCCAGCACCTCCCTAAGAAAGGGCTGCAGTGAGAGCTAAACCCTTCTCAGACTCCAGAGAATCCACACACGAGCTCACAGGCCCAGTGCCCTCAGCACAACCCTGCCTGATCCAGGACTCGCTCTCCAGGCACTGCTGCCCCCCTGGAGCCAGAGGCCACAGTGAGGATCCAGTTTTGGGACACAGAAGAAGAGCTGTTCCCTGGGAAACTACCTCCACATCCCGCTTCAGCTTTTCGAGGAAGTTCTTTTTACTCTCTTCTCCAACATGCAGCTTCTGACCCTCATTCAAGAAGTCGTTGTCCTTGAACGTCGGGAGATCCTTGGCCTGCAACAAAAAGCCTGTGTCAAGTTCTCCAACCCTGGGGGAGGGCTGGACCACGGATCCCTCAGAAATGTGTGGATTGAGCAGCCCTCCAGGGCTGCACCAGGGTCTTTTTGGCTTGTTTTAAGGTGAAGTGGCTCATCCTGTCCACTAGAGATGAAAATGGCATCAGGCAGAGCACAGTAATTATCAGTGGATCCAGAGAAACTCAAGGCAGACACAGAGCAACTGAGCTCAACTCAGGGCCTGTTTAACAACCCCTGCTCAATACCCCTTTGGAAAAGGGAAATCAGTTGGATCCCATCTGCTTCCAACCACCAGGAGGAAGGAAAGGCTGGCCAGAGTTGCTCCATACCTTCTCTTTATCACTTGCTTCCCTGGATACTGTTGAGCCCTGATTAAAAAAAAAAAAAAAAAGAAGAAAATATCATTCCTGCACTATGTGTCATATTCCCAACAAATTCACAATTTAATTTCTCCATGCAGAAGAAATTCTGCAAGTATTTTTAAAACGAGTGCTCAACCCCCTTCTCCACGATCTCCCTGGTTTAGTGCAGGTCACTTGGGACGGGGAAAATGCACCCACATGTGAGCCCCGAGCGATGCTCCATCCAGAGCCCCCAAAACCTGACCCCGTGACCAAAGCCCACGAGCCTGGCAAGTGGGTGTTACAAAGCCCATCTCCCAGCCCCCTGGAGGAGCTTCCAGCCCCCTGGAGGAGCTCCCAGCCCCCCAAAGCCTCACCTTCAGGTCGTATTTCCTGTGCACAGTCAGCCTGTGGCTGAAGACGTTCCTGGTGACCACCATGTAGGTCTCCACGCCGTCCACCGTGAGCCGGTACATGCCCAGGAACTGGGGCAGGAGGGTGTTCCCGTGGCACTCCACGATGAACTGCAGGGCAGCAGGGGAGGGGAGGGCAGAGAAGGACAGTTCTGTCACACAGACCCCACCTCTGACACAGCACAAGCTCAGCAGGATGCTGACAGTGATCCCCCCCGCCCAGTTCCAGCCACCTGACACCGATGTGGAAGGAAAGGAGGCCTGAAATGCCCCCCTGGGGTCTCAAGAAAAGGAGTCATGGCATGGTAAGAACCTTCCAGCCCTGAGCTGAGACAGAGCATCCCATTCCCTGAGCAACCTGATCCAAGGAGTGGCACCCCTGCCCATGGCAGGGGCTTGGAACTGGATGATCCTTAAGGTCCCTTCCGAACAAAACCATTCTGGGATTCTTGGACTGCCTGTGCATGCCCAGCCTGCTGTGACAGGCCAGGCGTGCCCTGGCACTGCCCAACGTCCCTTCTCATGGTTATCTAAGTTTACCTGACAGTGAGGAGCAGATGGGCTGGCACATAACGTGGACCAGGGCAGAACATTTCCCACTGTCCCCATTTTGCCCCCCTTCCCTGCTCCTCTCCAGTCCCTCTGGAAAGCCTAACACAAAGCACTGAACTGGGAGCACGTTTACAGGTCTCAGGCACCAGCAATCCACAATTCCCTGATGTAAGGAACGGGGTGAGCTGCGAAGGGGCTCAGCACTGTGAAGAAACAGGCAGCTGGGCCACATTTGGCCCTCAGATCCCAAGGAACTCATCTTTCCTCCCACAAAGCCGAGCTGCGGACCCCCAGCAGCCCCCCGGGGTGTTTGCAGCCCATCTCCCCAGGGTTCCAGACTCACCGTACCTGGTGGTACTTCTTGAGGATGTTGTGCATCTCCGCCACGTCCTCGCTGGACACGGCCTTGATGACAAACCTCCTGTCGTAGGTGGTGAGGAAGCGGGCGCCGCAGCGGCCCTGGCTGTCGCTGTTCACCGGCGCGCTGCGGGTCACCGAGTTCTGGGGGGGCAAGCACAGGGGCAGGGACTGGCAGGGGCTCTGCCACCTCCCCTGGGGAAGGAAGGGCAGCCTCGGGAAGCGGGGTGGGACACGGCTGAGCAGGGCCAACCCCCGGAGCAGACACTGCAGGCGTGTTCTGTCTCGCGTTTTAAAAACCTGGAGGGTTTTAGGGCTTCCAGCCGGGCCTTTTACCTGCTGACACGTTTGACTCCAGCACCTGGCAGGTGTTTTTGAGGGCATTTTTGTTTTGCTAGAAGACACAGAATACACAGGCCAAGAGCTCTCAGCATTTCAGCAATGTAACAAGAGTCGGGATATTCCTGAGGTTTAAGGAAAGCCAGAACAAACCCACTGAAAGGGCCTGTTGCCTTTCCCATCGCAAAGCAGCTTAAACTGGCCAAAGTCTCGCGGTTTGGGAATTCTTTGCAGGTCATCCTGCAACCAAAAGCCACCCTCAGCCCCTGCTATTCTTGCCATCGGACGTAGAAGATGGGAGTATAAATAGCCTGGCCGTTCTTCCGACAACCAGCAGCATCTGTCTTCATCTCCCTGTCTCCACCCTTAGCAACCAGACACTGCAGCTCCCCTTCAGACTTGCAGCACGACTGGAAAATCCCAGGAAAACGGCACAGCGAGGATCTGCCACGCTCCCCGAGCCACCAGCACCAGAGCTCTTTGCTCTGCTGTCCCCTCCCCAGGCGGTGGGAGCCTCACCCCTCAGCCAGAGCCACTGCTCTTCACACCTGCCAAGCCCAGCAGGTCACCTGTCTCCTGTGGGTCCCCTCTCCATCCCTTCCAAGCTCCACCTTCCCACTCCACCCTGCCCAGCCACCAGCCTGTGCTCAGGAGCCATTTTATCCACCAACAGCCTCCCACCAGCATCTCCCCCTGCCACAGGTCCAAGCAGGGAGTGGAGAGCTGTGCTCTAAGCACAGCAGTGCAAGCACCTGGAGGATGGATTTTAGCCAGATCTCAGCATCTCAGGGTTGGACAATGTGTCTGAGGATGGATTGCTTTTTTTGTAGGTGACAGTGACACTGCTCTCTCCTCTCCCCTCAGCTCTGGAGCCTGCTCAGCTGCAGGCACAGACAGAGCCTGCTGTGAGAAAGGGATTTACCGCGTCACGCTGCAAGTGAGCCGAGAGGTTTCCTTTCAGAACGAGGCATTTAAAGCTTCTAAAACTTTAATGAAGCAGGGGGGAAAAAAAACTCCACTGCTGCCAACGGCTTTGGAAAGCGTCAGGAAAATAAAGGCAAACAGAAAAATCCCCCTTGTTTCCTGCTGACATTTGCAAAGGAGTCTGTGCTGCACAGTTTAATCAGGCCCTCACCTCAAAACCACAGAGCTTTTCTTCTGGAGATGGGAAGCAGAAATCGTGACCACACTGAGCATTACCAAATTCACAGCCCTTCGGGTTTGCCTTCCTGTCCACACTTGCCCACCTCTTCCACACTTGGGGTGTTACATTTAGTGTTCTGGCTCCATTCCCACTCAAGCCACCACATTTTACCCACCTGGACTGAGCTCAGTTAACGTTTTGCTTTTTAAGAGGTCAAACTACCCCAGAGCTGGGAGGAACAATCCTCCAGGGCAGCAGGGGAAGGGCACTCCCCCACGTGCCTCCCTGGCTGGCGGATCCCGGGGAGCATTCCAGCGGATGCCCCGGTCCTGGCGCCGTGCCCGTCTCCATCAGCGGCAGCCGAGGACGCCGCGTTAATTCCCGGCCACCCGGCCTGCCAAAGGCCACGCTGCCATCAAAGCCTCCCTCCCTCCCTCTGCACGGGCTTTCCCCTCTTTTCTGAGATCCCCAGGCAGCCTCCTGCTCGTCTCCTGCTGTGGGTGGAAGGGTGGCCCCGCTGCTGCAGCAGGAGCTGTGACATCTCCCTCTCTCTCTCTCTCTCCCTGGATTTAAGCCCCCCAAAAGTCTGTCCCCTCCAAGGCAAAGCTGAGCCTGTGGCCTGAGGGGACGTGTCCCAGAGCAGGAGCCACCCTGATACACCCAACTCAACAATACACACACTTGGACAAGCAGCAGATTCACCTGAACCTGTAAAACAACACCGGGCTCATTTTCCTTGCAGATGTTCCACACTGGATCTTTGCCATCCTCCAGCTCCTGCCTTTCCACCATGGCTCCTATTTCACACCTAGGTTTAAACTCCCCAGAGCAGGGACCATCTTCTCCTTCTCCTCTTGCCCAGTGCTTGGCACAGCAAGCTCTCCTGCACTGCTGTGGGCCCTGGGGTTACCACGATTACCAACCCAGAAAAGCTGATGATAACAATGTTTGTGTCAGGGTTTCTCCACCAGCTGGGATATCCTGTGCTAGGGAAAGGTGTCAGGAGGGCAGGGAGGGGAGAGCTGGTACCTGGTAGTCTTGATCATCGATCCCAAATCTTTCCCGGAGGTTCCGGAACACCAGTGGACAATACTCCTTAAACTTAAAGCGGCTTGGCAAGTTCTCCCTTGGGGCAGAAAAGATGTTTGTGTGTAACAACGACCAGCTCGTGAAATCAAACCAAACTTTTCTCCCACTTCTCTCCCCAGGATTTCCCACCTCCTCCCACCACCCTGCAGGTACTTCCCCTCACGAGGGCAGCTTGTTTGTTTGGATGCCTGCAAAAGCCATCTCTCCACAGGGGTGTCTGCAGGATCCCGACTAACAGGCTGCCTGGGTGAGGATGCAGAACAATCTCCTCTGCCACAAGCACAGATCCGGCAGGATCGTTTCTCTCTCTGCCCCTCCTTTGTTGCCTTGTGCTGTGCAGTCCCACAGCTGCCCCCTGCACACCCTGTTACTGGGGAAGATGAGGAGCTGCAGCACAAAGGGGGGGTGGAGGGGTGGGCTCTGATTTCAGATCCCATCAGATCACTCATGCGTCAAAAGAAAGGTCAGCGCACCACAAACCGGGAGCCTGGAGGAGAGGGGGGGGAATCAGCTCCAGCCTGGCACGTTCCAGAGCCAGCTCTGCTGCCAGGCTGCCCCCGAGCACAGGACAGCGGGAACACACAGCATTCCCTGCCACTGAGAGCTGCAGCTGCTCCCTGCCCTGCTCTGATCCCGCCCAGGGGGACAGGCAGAGGGGATGATCCCCACGGTGGGAGCGTTTGGCAGCTCACTGTCAATGAGAGTCCTTCGCACCGAAACGTGGGAAACGAAAAATCTCTGTAGGAGAAGAGGGAAGAGCAGATACTGCGCTGTTGTGCGTGCCAGGGAAGACAAACTTTCCAATCACACTCCCACTCTCCAAAGCTGATCCCTGGGAAACTCAGTGAAAACAAAGGATTCATCGGGTAGCGCTGCAGCCCTGCACTCACACAGAGCAAGGGTGGGGAACACGGCTCCAGGAGGGCTTCCAAAAACTGACCTTCTGGGAATAGGAGATGGGAGTAAATCCCCAGACACCCCGTGGGCCAGGGGTACAGCACAGCCTGAGGGCTGTGAAGGGTCTTACCCCTCAAAGGAGAGAAACCAAGCCACAAAAGAGCATCTCAGGGACGGACTGACCCCTGCCACGTCCTGGTGAGGGGTCTGGGCAGGGCACAGGCTCAGGCCTCGTGTCCAGCCACGCCACATCCTCTCGGCATTTCCACTGGGAACAACCCAGAAGGCCTTCACCCCCCAGCAAAGGGACAAAGAGGTTGGGAAGCACCTACTTACTTGTTGAATAGATGATTGTCCACCTTAATCTTACTGTAGGCTTTAAAGTCATCGGGCATTAACATGACAGGGACGGGAACATTGCTGAGCTCGTTGATCTGAAAGAGAGAGGAAAAGGGGACTCAAAGCTCTGTTCCACTGGTCCACAGGGACTGTCAGGGATGCCAAAAACACCAGAGGCTGGTTTGGGAGCACCAGAACCCATCAGACTGGGGAGCACTGTGGTTAAGAGCTCAGCACCATCACGTGGCGAGTCCTCACCTCCATCCATCCTTTCACCTTCCACTGACCATCCAAGACACAGCTGAGAACCCAGACACATCCACAGACCAGGGAACAGCAGATTTTATGTTTTCACTAAGCCCCCTTTGCCTTTATCCAGGGAACGTTGCATCAGCCAGTTTCTTAACTAGTTCTCCCTGTTCCAGATCACTGATGACCCAAGTCTTGGCCGTGAATGGACTCTGGGAGCTTTGGTGCAGCCCAGCACAGCTCCCCATGGATGCTGTTTCCATGCTTGCTGCCTCCTGTTGCTCTCATCCCACCTTCTCTGGAGGGATGAGTCACTCCACTAGATTGTTTTTGCTCCTTAGTCATGTGTGGCAGCCACAGGAACACAGGGAAGCAGAAGAATGAATGTTCAGCTACTATTGTACAGACAGGCTTGTGCTGCAGCCCCCAGCAGTGACAGCACTAATAATAATAATTAAACCCCAACAGAAATCCACCTCTGGGCTGTGTCTGGCTGCCCTGCTCCACACAAGCCCCGTGCACTGACAAGGCTGTGCCAGAATCAAGAGCAGGTCAAGAGGCACCACGTTTCTGAGGGCCCTGGTGTCACCCACTCCCAGGGACTCCCATCTCACTGAGCTGCTATAAACAGCCTGGATCTAGGAAGCAGTTTCACTCCAACTCCGTTCCCATAACTACTGTGCCAAGCAGGTAATGCTGGAGAGAGAGGCAGACAACGCTGGCAACAGCAGGCTTTGGCTACGAGTCAGGCCCAGGGTCTGTTCCCAACACCGAAATCTTCCGCAGGTCAAGTGACTTCCAGCACGCTTGGAAAGCTGCTGGAAAACTTCCCTGCTGTCTGGGAACAGGGGCCAAGTCATCAGGCTGAGGGAAGGGACTCCAGCTCCGGGATTCCCCGTTCCCTGCGTGCAACAGGACACGGCAGCGCTGCCCAAACCGCTGCCACATCCCCACGAGGACCACGGGGATTCCACGAGGTCCCTGCTTATCACCCCCTTCTCCCCAGCACGACAAACCAGACCAGACTGAACACACGTCAGACTGGAGAGAAAGACAAAAAAAAAAAAAAAATAGATGGCTATTTTCAGAGCCAGCCATCCCACACAGCAGATAAGCGGGAGCGGAGATGGGGGCTCTGAACAGCCCTGCCCTGCTTCTCCTCAGAGCTGCACCAAGCACTCCCAGGAAACGCCCTGGGATGGATGAATAAATAATGTCACCCCCCCCAAGACCATCAGCAATCCCCAGGGAGCAGGCAGGGCAATGCCAAGGCTCAGCCCTGCACTGAGCTGCTCCTGGAGCCGGAGGGGAGGAAAGGGGGGAGCACTCCAGGTGAGGAAGGGATCTCCCAACCACTGCAGGGAGCTGCATCCCAGCCCCTCGGGGTGAAGAGAACACAACCAACTCTGCACCAAGGCAGAGGCGCTGCCTCCAGCCACTCATTATTCTCCCAGGAGGGGAAAGCCCGAGGGAGCAGCTCCTGCTCCCATCCTGCTCCCAGGGGGAAGGCACAGCCAAGCCGTTATCAGCTCCCTGGCGAGCGGAGGAAGGGTGCTGATGGCTGGGAGGGAACAGCGGCTCGGAGACTGCCTCCTCCCCGCCAGAGACTCCGACACAAACGCTTCCAGGCGCCCTGGTTTCTGCCACCACGGCACAGAACCCCAACAGCGAGAGCGTGGCACCTGTTGCGGCGCTGCTGACTGGCAGAAATGGAGCGCCAGGATTCCTCGTTTCCCTTCAGAGGGATACCACGGGCACAGAAATGCCCCCCCTTTTCCCTGTAGAAGCCTTTCCTCCCTTCCAGCTGCGTTCAGGTTGCTGGGTGATTCGGGGATTTCGACTCCTGGGGACACAGGAGGAGGATGGGGTTTGTGCTGCACTGGCCATTTCTAGTGCCAGCACTGCCCTCTGCTCCTGACAGCGGCCTGGAAGCAAAGGTGGGGTTGGTTAGTTTATTTTTGCTGTTGTGTTAAGGGGTTTGGTTTGTTTTTCAAACACAGAGTGCCCTCACAGTAACACCCCTGCTTGACACCTCCCAGAGGGAGGGGAACCAGAAGCCCCCACACCACCCCGGGACGGGGATATCCCAAACCCTCCCTTCCCACAGCACAACCCTCAGCACGCAGTTCCCCTTCCTAAGGATTATCCAGTGAACCACGAGGAGCCCGAATGGCCAGCACCCATCACCTCTCCAGAGGGGGATCCCTCTGCTCGGCTTATCCCGGTGGAATCTGCGAGCAGCCTCCGGGAGCAACGTGACTAACGCCTGGCACATGTTTGCTCTCTCGCCTTCTCCCCGGGGAGGGGCGTGGAGAGCAGATTATATATAGCAGAGTGTGTGTCTCGGGGTATTTATGCTACAGGAGGCAAGGTCACGGCAAGGAGCACGGCAGGGAGGGGCCGGGAAACCTCGGCTCCCGGGAAGTCTGTTCCCAAAACAAAAGAGAATCTGAGGATTTCCAGATTCTGCCCTTGGATCCACCTGGAAAACGAGCCCCTGGTTTTGCCCAGTTTTCTTTTTGTAGCAGCACAGAGCCCTGAGAGGGACCAGCCCAGGCTGGAAGCACCATGACAAGTGCATTTTGCCACCTGCACTTTGCAGAAAGACTTTTAAGGCCCCAGCCCTACCCCTCCCAGGTCAGATTTCCCAGCGGGAATGGCACATTCCCAGAACCTCCCAAAGGGGCTCAGACGCACCCCGGGCTCGGGGGATTTAAAACCAAGACCCCTTTTAGCCAAACCTGCTGCCAACCTTCCCAGGGCAACAGCAGCAGCACTAAGGACAGGGATGCTTTCACCACATCCTGAGAACAAAGGAGCAATTCCCAAGGAATTCAGGCAGCCTCCCCATGCCCAGAGTCACTCCAGCAAGGAGAGGGATGCAGATCAAAGAGACACAACAACCCCAGGGAAAGGCAGGTGGAAGATGTCACCAAGGAAAGGCTTGGGGCAGCAGCAGATGAGGGAAGGAAAACCTTCATCCCACCCTCCTCTTCAGCAGCGAGCTCAGCCCTGCAGCTCCTCCAGCTCCCCCCAGTCCCTTCATCCTCAACCAGCACAATTCAGCCTGGCCTAAGCCACCCCTGGCCTTCCAGGCCTGGAAAAACACCTCCTCCAAGACCTCCTCCCTGTCTCTCTCTCTCTCTCTCTCTTTCTTAAGCTTTTATTTCCCGGTCATTGGAATTCCTGAGCCACACCAGTCAGGAGTTCAGGGCTGGTAATCTGTGTTTGCCACCCAAGCCAATCCCTTTTCCAATAAGAGGCACATCAATATTCCATGTCATTCAGGGACAGCTGTTGGGATGAACGGGCCAGGCATAATTTTGTTTCAAAACCTGACTGTAGCCTCAAAGTGGCAATTACCATTAGTAAATTGATGGGAAAATGCAATTTGTTTACTAACAAGATCCAGCTGATGGAGTGTGTGAGCCTACTCTCCAGGATTCTTTACAGCAGGAATTTGCTGGGGGAAATAAAGATACTTTGTTCCCCCCCCCCACAACCCCCTCAAAGCCTTTCCAAGGCATCTCCAAGTACTTTGTGAGCATTACTTAAACTTTATTATCCCTCTGGGGAAGGAGGTAAAAGACACATGGCAAAATCACTCTACAGCACGGAGACAAACCCACATCTGCAGCAAAACTTTGCTGCTGCTCGACACAGTAAAGGAACTGGGTGATGGTTTGAGGGACAAAAAAAAAAAAAAAAAGCCTGTTTTCCATGAATTAGAGCATGATTAATCAGTATCCATGCTAACAACCCCATGCAACGCCAGGGAAGCATGAATCTTGGAGTCAATAATTCCTGCCAGTGCTCTGGGGACACCAGAGGGAGGGAAAAAGCAGCCCCTGGTGACAGCAAACCCACCCCTTCCCAAACAAAGTGCTTGGGAGCCTGTGGAAAGAGGCAGAGGAGTCAGTGCCACCCTCCTGTCAGCACAGCTCCAGGGCCATGGGAAGCATCTCCCACTCCAGGTGGGCAGAGCCATTGCTTCCCTTGGTCCTAAAAAAAACCCCTGAGGAATGGGAAGGTTCAACGACCCACCCATGGCCTCACCAGCCAGTGGCAGAGCAGGGGAACGAGCCCCATTTTCCTGGCTGAACTTCCCAGGAAAACCTTCTTTTCCCTCCATGGCCAGCAAGGAAAAAGGGCTCCTGGAATCCCCATTTCACTGGGATCCCATTCAGAGCCACGGCCTCGGTCATTACCAGGGCTGTCATGGCCATATGCTGCTCTCTCCAGAGGTCAATTAGAGCCAGGGCAGACAGCGGGGTTGGGAAGGACAGATCCAGGCTGTTCCCACTGTGCCAGGGCCAATTGATGGGATTTGAGCATTTGATATGTGGCAGATGCTGCTCTGGCTACAATTAACATGGCAGCACCGAGCCCAGCGCTGCGGAGCAGGGAGGAGCGAGCTGCAAATCCCAGTTCTGCTGTTTCCCTGGAATACTAACGAGCTCTGCTCTGGCTCCACTCCTAAAGGTCCTGGGAGATGGGGCTGCTGCTCCAGCCAGGAATCTGGAGCCTCTGGAGCTCAGGAGGCTGCCTCAGGCCAGGTCCACACGGCCAACAGATCTCCCCTTTTCCACCCAAACGGGATGTTTATGCCACCCCCTGTCCCTGCCAGCAATCCAGGGCCACAGGGAGCCTTTCCAGCTCAACTGGCACCTCGAGGAGCATCATCACAGCCTGACTGTTCATTCAACCAACAGATCCAGGAGTTGCTCCCTGGCATGCCAGTGCCTCCCACCAGCAGCACCTTCCAAGCGTTTCCAGAGCACCACACACAACACTGCTCATCACCCTGCTGGGCTTCCAGAACCATCCCAGCTCTCCCAGCCCGTGCACACAGACCCATCCAGGGCTCGGAGGGAGAAGGACACACACACACACACACACATCCAACCAGGAGGAGCTGCAGCTCCTCTGCCACTGCCATGACAACAGCAAGGGAAGCTTCCCGGGAACCATCTCCACACGTCTGCTGGGCTCAGTGTGTGTCACAGAAAACTCACAAGTCAAGGGTGAGCCTCCCCCTTCCCCCTCTCCCTCCCCTCCCCTGAATTCTTCTAGTCCAAAATGCAGTGGTTTGACTCATACCACCCACATTTGGCCCCACCAACACCAGCCACGGCCCCACCCCGATCCCAGCGCTGGCTGGGGAGCACCAGGACAGCCAAGCCCCAGCTCCCGATTCCAACACTCCAGACTGGTTTTCCAGAGGCCAGCTGCTGTTCTTGGGGCGCTGCTGACCCCCCTGCAGACCCCTCCCCTGTGCTCACACCAGCTGCTCCCGAGCCTGTTTAAAAGGCAAGGCCGAGCCGTTGCCAGACTCGGATAAGGGACCCGCGGGAATTTCTCCAGTGGATTGCACAAAATGGTTGTTTGTTTGATTTGTCTGTGAAAAAGTTCATCTCAGATGCAAGTAATTCTGACAGACTCTCGCTGGCACGGCCCCGGGGCTGTGCTGAGAGCTCTTTTCTCCTCCTCCCACTCCAAGGATCCCAAGGCAGAACTCCAGGGACACAGCCAAGAGACTCACCCACCCTTCCTCATCCAGCTCTGCTCCAGGAGCCAAACATTTAAACATCCTCCCCCAAAAAAAAGACAGTCCTAACAAAGTTTAAAGGCATCCCCAAAATCATTTCCACGCTGGCCAGAAGCACAGAATTCCCATTCCCACATAACCAGGGCACCGGGACCATCTCCCAGACACGGCCCAGGAGGAGCAGCTGCTCGTGGTGAGTCAGTGGAGCCACCTCAGCTCTGAGCTGTGTCACAGCAGCCCTTTTGGGCGCTCACACCCTCACCCAAGCCCAGAGAACGTGGTGGCAGGGAGGTGGAGGGATTTACTGGGAAATCCTGGATGCCTTTCCAAGGGTGAGGAGGTCACAGCTGAACTTTTCTCACCCCCTTCCCAGCCCCTCAGGACACCGTGGCTCCTTCTGGCAGCAATTTCTTCCTAATACACATCCCATATAATCTCATTACCAGCTTAGTGTCGCCTTGGTTCCCCCACTTTGCCCAAATATTTCACAGCCAAGTGCTCCCAAAGTTACACTGTCCTGATCCAGGGCCTCAAATCCCTGCCAGGCTCTGACTACCCAGGCAGCTACGACACCAAAAAAAAGAACAACACAAAAAAAAAAACCCCCCCCAAAAAGGCAAATTTCCACCGAGCAACAACTGTCCCTAAGAGGCCACGGGTGGGGCTCCAAAGAATCCCTCCAAATTCCATTTCTTCAGGGCTTCTAATGGCACCACAGATCAAAGCCTGATTAAACTCATTATCCTGCTTCCTGGGCAAGGCTCTGAGTGCTTGGAACATCCTTTGACTCCGTGCTGAACTACATTTGGAAGCTTTCACTCCAGCCAGGCAAGCCAGGAATGCAAGCCTGATCTTTTTTTTTTTTGGTGTGTTATTTGTTTCTGAAAAAAAATATATAAAATATTAAGCCCAAATCCCTTTCACTCTCTAGGAAACATCCACTAATCCACTGGAGAAATAGGTGTGTCTGAGCCCTAAAAGTGGATTAATTCAGGAAGGGATGAGGCTTGTGGATTCTCTGACCACCTAGAACAGCATCCAGCACCCACATCCAGGAATCAGTCCTCCTCTCCAGCACGAATTTGTGCCTGACATCACAGAATATTCCAGAGAAGACATGAAGATGGTCTTAGGAATTACCAGAGAAGGTGGATTAGAGCTGAGCCAGCACAGACATTCCCAAGGGACCCTCTCCCACCTCCCTCCCACAGGAGCCGAGGCCAAGAGCACAGGCATGGCCTGAGTCCTGGAGGATGAAGCCTGGAATCCAAGGGAGACAAGGCTGGACAGATGGAGCCCAAACGCCTCCTTTTTTGGGGGGATGGAGGCGAGAAACACACATAATGATCCAAGTGAGGAGCAGGGGTGTCCCCTCTGGGCTGTGACACGAGGGGGTGGCAGGAAAGGGACAGGGGACAGGGCTGTGGGTGACAAATCAGTGTCCTCGGTGCCAGAGGGGGGTGTGACAGGGCTACAGCACCCAAAACAGCATCGCTCCCTCTTCCCAGCCCTGGGAGTGGGGGGGGGAGAGGTGCTGGGAAAGGCGCCAGGGGTGGGGGCAAAGGGACGGGGCAGGGAGGGACCCCTGACCCCAAAGCGCCTGGGGATGCTCCGGGAAAGGAGCCCCGGGAGAAAAGGAACCACCGGGAACAGAGCCCAGGGAGGGGCTGGATCAGGGATGGCACGGAGAGGGAGGGAAGGCTGGGATACAGGGGAGAGAGGGTGTGGGGGATAAAACCCGCTGTGGGGAGGGAGGGGTGGGAAAAGGCCCAGGCTGAGGGGGAAGGGGATGATCTGGGAGGGGGGCTCGGGCACCTGCCGAGGGGAAAGGACGGGCGTGAGGGGGATGAGGGGGATGAAGAGGACGAGGGGCAAGGCCGGGTGTGAGGGGGCGAGGCCCCGTTCCCGGGGGTCTGTGCCGGGCCCATCCCCGGCTCCGAGGGGGATAAGGAGGGAGTGTGTGGGGTGTGTGTGGGAGGGGGAGATGCCCGCGCCGCCCGCTCTCACCGTGTGGTTCGCCCCCCACATGAGGACGCTGAGCAGCGGCTCCGAGGCCCGGAACAGCTTCACCTTCTGGCACACGAAGTGCTTCTTCTTGGTCTTGGTCTTGCTGGCGCTGAGGGCCGAGCCCAGCGCGGCCCCGCCGCCCCCCGCCGTCCCCGCGGCCCCCGCGCAGTTCGCGGCCATGGCGGACCCGACCGACCCCCTCCCCGCGCCCCCCTACCAGCGCCTCCGCATGGTTCCGCCCGGCCCGGCGCACGCCCCCCGCTCCGGCCCGCAGTGGTACCGCCCGGCCGCGGCAGCCCCGGCTGGTTGAGCTCCCCCGCCCTCCCCGCCGCGGTGGTGCGGTCCTCGTGTGTGTCCCCCCTCCCGCCCCCGCGGTTGGTTCGCTCCGCCGCGGCGGCAGAGCCCGCTCCGGCCCCGCGCTGAGGAGGCGCCAAGATGGCGGCGCGCGGAGGGGGCGGGCGGCGGGAGGTGCCATGGCCGCCCCCGCGGGGGTAGGGGGAGGAAGAGCCGCGGGTAATGGCGGGGCTGAGGATCGGCCCGCGGGTGGAACGCGGAGAACCGCGGCGCGCGTTGGGCTGACACGCGGAATAACGGAGAGGGACGGAGCCGGGAAGGGGAAAAGCGCCCTTCCCTCCTCCTCTTGGCGGAGATGGTCTCGCCCAGCCGGCGTGAGGCGCCCGCCCAGGCCACGCCCCCGCTGCCGGCGGGCCAATCAGCGGCGAGGCGGCTGGAATTATGAATGGGCTGTTTCCCACGTCACGCGCCGCCGTTTAAAGGGCCAGAGCGCGGCCGGGACCCCCCCGGGACAGACCCCTCGTGGGGCCCACCCGCGACCCCTTCGGCACCGGGAGGGTCCTGAGGGACGGATGCACCCCAGAAGGGGCTCCCACAGCCTCCCAGACCTTCACCAAACCTTCTCCCTGCGGTGAATTCACCCAACCTGCCCCTCCCACCACCCCCAACCCAAGAGCCACAAGGAAGCTTTAACAAATGACAGTGAAGTTTCTTAATTAAAAAGACAAAATAAATCTACACCGCTGTACATATGCACATTACTTACAGTACAAAATCCCAGAGAAATGCCTGCCGTACCCAGCTACGCTCTGCTCATCCCCCTTCCTCGGGAAGCAGCTTCTTTTGGGTCAAATACCAGTGAAATCTGGTATCAAATTCCACGAAATTAACTCACATGTCAATCGGTTCTGCTCTGATCTTCAAGGATTAATAAAAACAGCTGTTTAGCTCTGGCCTATAAAGAGCTGGGTAGTAGGAAGCAGTGACCACCTGGCACAATTTGGTAATAATATACAAAAGTGACACCAGTCAGGGTGGGGAGGGAGAAGGAAAAGCTCTGGCAAGAGGTTAAAAATGGACCAACAAAGGCTCCCGAGTTGCCCAGCCAAGGTCCCACCCAGCACAAAGGAATTCCCAATGCCCCCAGTCCTGAGCACACCCGGGGCTCAGCACAGAGATCCAGCACCTCTGGGAGCTGGGAAGTGTTCCTGGAGAGAGCAGTGAGGCTGTGCTGGAGGGCTCTCACCTCTGGGCAATCAGAGTCCATTTAACTGCTGCACAGGAGCAGAGGGAGAACGAGCCTCATCTCTGCATAAAGTTCTTTTCCAAGGCAGCAGGAGTTCTCTGCAGGGAGTGGATGTTCCTCTTCACACGGTCCTCCAGGGTGGAGGTGGAGGCACTCTCCAGCTTTAAACGGCTGCAGGCAGTGGGAACAGAGAAAGAAAACAAGACTTTTTAAACTGGAAGAGAGTAGGTTTAGATTACAGGTTGGATATTCCTCCCTGTGAGGGGTTGGAATGGAATTCCCAGAGAAGCTGTGGCTGCCCCAGCCCTGGAAGTGTCCAAGGCCAGGTTGGACGGGGCTTGGAGCAACCTGGGCCAGTGGAAGGTGTCCCTGCCCAGGGCAGGGGGTGGCACTGGATGGGCTTTAAGGTCCCTCCCAACCCAAACCATCTCATGGTTCTCTGGTCTGCACTTAAGAACGTGTTCTCCTCTGATCAATCTATAGAGCCTGGAGAATAAAACTGCCATGGGATCTTTCTTGCAGCCTCTGGAAGGGGTCACTCCAAAACCCTTTGCCTGACACCAGCACAAGGGACTAAGATACCACGTGTGTTTAGGGACTTGCAGGCCTAAGAGTGTTTCCAGCACTTAAAACCAGATGACTTCCAAATATCTGCAACGTAAAACACCACCTGGTATTTCTACAAGTTGGCAAAGCACAGCTGGTTCCTGTTTTCTAAGTCTGACTGAAACAAGCACCTCTCGGGCTAAGAGGAGAATCTGGGAGCAGCAGATGCCACCAGTTCTGCCGTAAAACACAGTGGAGATGGATCCTACACCATGACCTGGAACACCCCAAAGCTCGAGGCCCTCACTCAGAAGCTGTGGCCTGGATTTGCCCTCAGTGAGGAGGAGGGAAAAGACTCACTGGAAGAACTTCCCATCCCTGGCGTCGAGTTTCTCCAGCTCTCGCTCCAGCTCCTCCTCCTTCCTGTGCTTCCTGAGGTTGTTTGCTCTCTCCTCTTCCCTCCACTTGGCATTTTCCATCATTTCCTGCCGTTTACGCTCCAGTTCCTCCGGGGAGAGCTTTCTGTTGGGGTAGAAACCACCCATGCCGTGACCCAACAGCACCCTGGTTTTCCACTCCCTGAGACCACAGGGTTGGTAAGGTCGGAAAAGACCTTTAAGGTCATCAAGCCCAACCACCACAGATGACTCACAATGCCCCAAATTAGGGGTTTTTAGCATGGTTTTCTCTTGGGTGGCCAACCAGCAAAGCTTTTAAGCACACATCTGAGCATTCAGCTCCAGCACATCCCACAGGAGCCTCTTTTCTCCCTCACCTGGTGTAGCCCGGGGGGTGCTGGCGCCGGTAGCTCGTTTTTGGGGAAGGGCTCCTGGCTCTGCCCTTCTCCTCCCGACTGCTGTGCCTGCAACCCAAAGAACACCCCCTGTCAGCACAGATGAGCACGTTTCTGAACATTCCCTTGGATTTCTCAGCACATTCTGAAGCCCAGGCATCTCCCACAGCTGCAGGACTGTTACCTGCCCGCTCTGCACACAAATTCTAATGACTCTTAATGTACTTTTTATAAATTCACCTTTTTAACTCAGTTTTAATTATTTCATCACAATGAATACCTGCCACCTGATTTTATATGCATTTTAAAAAAGATAATTCTATATATTTTCTTTATCTATTCTAATTTATGGCTGATAATTATAAATTTGAAGAGGACTGGTAGGCCAAATAAAGCAGAGTCACAAGCAATACCCAAAGGGTGTGATTAGAGAGGGGTGGTCCCAAACAAAGAGTGGGATTGTCCCCTCCAGCAGCTCCCTGTGTGCTCCTGGACAGCTCCTGCCTTTCCACCCAGCACTGAGCAATAATGTCAGGACACAAAAGTGGCAGGAGATGGAACAGGAGGGATTTGGACTGCAGGGAATTTTCCCCCACCCAGCAGCCCATGGTTCCCTGAGCCAGCTCAGCCACACTCACTGTTTGCTGTGCTTGGAAGGAGATCCCGAGCCCCTGGACTGCTCCGAGTTCCTCTTGCTGGGATGTCCCTGGGGGGAGCGGGAGCAGCTCCGGGAGCGCTCCCGGTGCCTGTGGGGGGCCCTGTGGCTCTGCTCGGAGTCTCTCACCTGGAATTCAGAAGGAGCTTGTAGGAGGACAATGGGAGGCCACAGAGGAGTCCTCATTGTGTAGAAACATGTTATCTCTGTCTGATGGTCAGAAAACTAAACAAGGCAGCCAAGCTGAGTGTTGGAAGAGATGAGGGAAGAAACTCCTCCCTGTGAGGGTAGGGAGGGACTGGAATGGATTTCCCAGAGAAGCTGTGGCTGTTCCATCCCTGGAAGTGTCCAAGGCCAGGTTGGACAGGGCTTGGAGCAGCCTGGGCCAGTGGAAGGTGTCCCTGCCCATGGCAGGGAGTTAGAATTAAATGATCTTTAAGGTCCCTTCTGACCCAAACCATTGCACTGCTCCCTGGGTAACTCTGTGAAGAGAAACTAAACAAACCTTAACTTGAATTCCCAGCAGACAAAAGTCCCCCCCAGGATCTGAATAACTTTAATTTCAAGGCTTAGATGGCTGCAAATTGAATCATGAAATTTATGAAATCACGTTCCCCTCAAAATCCTCTTCCAGTTGGTGCAGCAGATTTGCAGCAAAGCCCCAAAACTCCTTGTTTTTGCCTCCCTCAGGGCGTTGGGAGTGTGATACACACATACCTGTAAACCATACCCTGGGGCTTTGTAAGGAGCAGGTTTCCAGGAGGAATTGTCCATCCTCTTCTGAGACCTACAGAGAAAACAGAACAGCCCTTTTGGAGCAGGAGAATTGCAAGAATAGGGTTTGGGGTTTATTTAACATTAAATTATTTTTAATGTTAATGATGCAAAACCAGGTACATTTAGACCAAAGAGAGGATTTGAAAACCAAATAATTCCATGAGGTGTTTTTGCCACAAAACCTCAAAACCTTACTTGTTTTTGCTTCTCTCCTCCTCGCTGCTGGAGCTGTCGCTGCTGGAGCTGCGCCGTCGGTGCTTCTTGTGCTTCTTCTTCTTCTCCTTCTTCTTCTTCCTCTCCTTTTTGTCCAAACTGTTCTGCAGCTGCAGAGCAAAAACCCCACTGTCATTGTCCTTGTCATTACCACTGCCCTCACTCCTGGGGACTCAGAAACACAAGGGAAAAATCAGGAGCTTGGGTCAGGAAAGGGCTCAGCTGATTTCTGGGTGTTCTGTGCAAAGGGACCCTGAGAAGCACCTACCAAAGCTTTGATTTTCTTCATTTTCACGGGATTATTCAAAACCTCCCTCTTCTTTTCCTCCTCCCTCTTTCTAAAGCAGGAAAAAAAGAAAATATGGGCGTTTTCAAACACACAAAATATCACCTTTTCATGAGAGAGATCAGTCAAGTGCAAGCTCTAAAAACACACAAAGCCATTTACAAAGTTAAAGCCATTTATAAAGCTAAAGACACAGAATTAAAGATACTTATAAAGTTAAAGTCACAGAATTTAAGATACTTATAGACATTTATAAAGCTACAGACATTTATAAAATTAAAGTAATTTATAAAGTTAAAAGACGTTTATAAAGACATTCGCAGATCAAATCAATTTTAAGACACGTATAAAAATGTCTTTCAGAAGATAA